ATGCTAGTGAAAAAAGAATTGTGACTTTTGAGTTAAGGAATGCAATGTAGGGACAAATTAACCCAGAAACTGGGCTTTAGAATGTTGCTTAAATTGGATCACCTCAGACCTTTTTTCTCTTGACTAGAAAGTAAAATATTGGCTCCTACAGTTTCTTTTCAGTAAATACCATGTTTAACTTGGAAATCTGACAAATGTCAAGGACCTTGTTCCCTTAACTCACAGTATTACTGGATGATCAAATGAGACAAGATGATGCAAAAGCCTTTTGTGTGTTGTCAAGTGCTAAATGAGGCATAGACAGCCCCTCTGGGTCATAGAAGCCTGGTGGGATCTCCATGTCATGGACCTTATTAGAATTGCTCACCACTGATCATCATAAAAGTTTAGTCCTTCAAATGTTAATGAGTAAAAATAGAACCTGACTGTGATTCAGCAATTCCACTGCTGGGTATATATACAAAAGAAAGGAAATCAGTGTATCTAAGGGATATTGGCACTCCCATCCCATATTTGTTGCAGCACTGCTCATAATCACCAAGATTTGAAAGCCAAGAAACGTCCATCAACAGACGAATGAAGAAAATGCGGCACATATGCACAGCGGAGTACTATTCAGCCATAAAAACGAGTGAGATCCTGTCATTTTCAACAACATGGACGGAACTGGAGGTCATTAAGTGAAATAAGCCAGGCACAGCAACACAAACCACGAGTTCTCACTTATTTGTGGGAGTTAAAAATTAAAACTAAAGAAAAAAAATTGAAACAACTGAACTCACGGAGATGGTTACAAGAGGATGGGAGGGGTAGTTAGGGATGGGGGAAAGTGGGGATTGTTAATGGGTACAAAAAGTAGTTAGAATGAGTCAGACCTATTATTTGATAGCACAACAGGGAGACTATAGTTAATAATAATTTAATTGTAAATTTAAATATGCATTACTTTTTAAAAAGTACTTTAAATACCTTTCCTAGGCTGGGTGCAGAGGCTTACACCTATAATCACAGCACTTTGGGAGGTCAAGGCAGGTGGATCATCTAAGGTCAGGAGTTTGAGACCAGCCTGACTAATATGGAGAAACCCCATCTCTACTAAAAAGACAAAATTAGCCAGGCGTGGTGGTGCAGGCCTGTGATCCCAGCTATTCAGGAGGCTGAGGCAGGAGAACTGCTTGAACGCCGGAGGTGAAGGTTGCAGTGAGCCGAGATCGCACCATTGCACTCCAGCCTGGGCAATAAGGGCAAAAGTCCGTCTCAAAAAAAAAAAAAAACCTCAAGGATTAAAATGAACACATATTGTAAATTTAAAAATACCTTAAAATAGACACTAACATATTTTTAACCAATAAGCTCTTTCTGCAGAACCAGCTTTTATAATGAAATCTTTTTCTCACAAATAAGCATATAGAAAAATTTATATACGGCTAGATCATTAGAAGCATATTTTATTGGAATTAGGAAAAGACATACATCATCTCTATAGACTGTCTCGTCAGTTCCCTCCCGTCCCCCACCTTTCTTGTAACAGAAAAACTGAGGTTAAGGAAGAACCCAGACTAAACTGCAGGTTTCCCGATTCCTGTTCTAAGTCTCATTTGTTCCTATAGTTTTTTAAAATAATATTTCAAACATAAAGTATAGGTAATAATAGGCACTCAGATTTTTAAAATGTTAATATTGTCATATGCCTCAGATCTCTTAAAAAGAATTAAAATATTATCTATCAACATAATTCCCATTCTTCTATCCCATTCCCCTATCTCCCTCTCCAGAGGTATCCATCAGGTTGAGGATGTGTGCGTTCTGTCCTTCCTGCCCATGTTTGTATACACTTACCAAATCATGGGTTATACATCCTTAAACCACACCATGTTGCCAGATAAAGAGCTGTTCTTCAAAACAAGGAAGAATCCCTCACTCTAGTATGGTTGCATGCAGTTACCACCTTTTGGGCTGGCAGGATATTTCAGAAAGAAACTAGGGCAGAGTCTTAAGTCTTTTTAAATGATTGCCACAGAGCCGGGCATAGTAGCTCACTCCTGTAATCCCTGCACCTTGGGAGGCCAAGACAGGTGGATCACTTAAGGCCAAGAGTTTGAGACGAGCCTGGCCAACATGGTGAAACCCCATCTCTACTAAAAATACAAAAATTAGCTGGGCGTGGTGGCGCGTGCCTATGATACCAGCTACTCTGGAGCCTGAGGCACAAGAATCGCTTGAGGAAGGGAGGTGGAAGTTGCAGGGAGCCGAGACTGCTCCACTGTACTCCAGCCTGGGTGACAGAGGGAGACTCCATCTCAAAAAAAAAAAAAAAGCAAATACCAAAATGATTACCACAGAAAGAGCTAGTGAAGTGTCCTGTTATCATTCAGAATAAAAAATAAATTGGGCAAGTATAAACTTTTTTTAATACAACTTCGTAAATCTTAAGTTTTATTTATGAAATGCTGGTTTATAATGAGCAAGTATGAATGACCTGTCACTGAACATCAGGGAAAGATGAAATAAGCAATTTAACTAATAAGTTTCTACTACTGCTTCGAGGTACAGCTCAGTGCTATCACCTTAATGAATTTGTCCATGATCCCAGAGTTGATTCCCTCAACAATCATTTGAGTACTAAAGTCCTCTGGATACAAAAGTAGATCCGGTCCATTTTCTGAGGAGAGCTCAGAAATAATTACACAACAGTGTTTAATACATGTAATAAGAGAACTATCTACGAAGGACTGGTGGAGCCTAACTTTTTCTGGGGCAATTGGAGAAGTTTTTACAGAAGAGGTGATGTTTCAACTGTATGGTGGAGGATGAGGAGGAGGTCACAAAATGAAGAATGAAAGGTGATTCCAGGTAGAGACACATTGAGAGGGTACAAAGGATGGTAAGATACTAGTTCAGAAAGACAACTAAGGATAGACATTGGAGGTGGGGAGAGAAGTTAGAAGTAGCAACAATGCAAGCAAAAGATGACAGGAGGCAGACATGAGGAGGGAGGAGTAAGGATATGAACACAATTCAGGAGATAAATTTAGCAGAACTTGATGCCTGATTGTATGGGGGAAAAAAAGATGGAGGAGTTGCAGATGACTCTCAAAAACTTGGCAAATCAGTGGGTGGTGAGGCCATTACTGAAATAGCGAATACAGGGAAGAAGATAAGAGGCTGGGCACGGAGGCTCATGCCTGTAATCTCAGCGCTTTGGGAGGCCAAGGAGGGCGGATCACCTGAGGTCAGGAGTTCAAGACCAGCCTGACCAACATGGTGAAACCCTGTGTCTACTAAAAGTACAAAAAATAAGCCAGGCATGGTGGCACATGCCTGTAATCCCAGCTACGGGAGGCCGAGGCAGGAGAATCAAGAGAATCGCTTGAACCTGGGAGGTGGAGGTTGCAATGAGCTGAGATTGGGCCACTGCACTCTAGCCTGGGCAAAGAAAGCAAAACTGTCTCAAAAAAAAAAAAAAAAAAAAAGAAAGAAAGAAATGTAAGAGCTCTCCTGAGAAAGGAGGTGACAGTTCATTCAGTTTGAAGGATTTTTGAGTTGGCTTTGAAGCCTCTTCCATGAGACCTCCAATGATTTCTCTAAGAAATCACCTGTCTTTGCACTCCATAGTATATTGTTTCTTTTTCCTCTCGAATTACTTAAACCTGCTGTATTTACAAGTCTGCCTCTACTTTAAATCACAAAGTAAAGGTACTAGGTCTTACTTGTCTTTATATGGCTCTCCTGGCAGTGCCTTACACATAGAAAGTACTCGAAGTTTGCATTCTTGAAAAGGCAGCTCCATCAGATACTAGAAACTGCCAGCTAACATTTATCAAAACAAGGAACGAAACTAGTGAATTAGTAGCCTAAACAAAATACCTGAAGTATAATATTTGGCCCTCTAGCACCTATTTTTAACGTTAGTAGCTGATTCTGGATATAAATTAGCTTCCTTCGCACTCATTTTGCCTCTTTTCTTTTTTTCTTTGAGATTGGATCTCTCTTGCCCAGGGTGAAGTGCAGTGGTAAGATCATAGCTCCTGAGCTCAAGTGATCCTCTCACCCGAGCTTCTCAAGAAGCAGCTGCGTACCACCATGATTGGTTAATTTTAAAAACTTATTTTGTAGATAGAGGCTTGCTGTGTCACCTAGGCTGGTCTGGAGTTCCTGGCCTCAAACAATTCTCCTTTCTTGGCCTTCTAAAGTGCTAGAATTACAGGTGTGAGCCATTGTGCTGGCTTTTTCTGACTTTTAAACAACCCTGCAGCGTTGGATTCATATTTTACAGAAAAAGCAACAGAAGCCTCCAATGACTGAGCAACTTTCCCGGGGTCACAAGGTTTGCAAGTGGCTAAATAGGATTTCTACAGACTGATTCTTTCAGCCTGCTGCCCGCCTGAGGTGAGCGGGTCTTACTGCCTTAATTCTCAGTAGGTCCCCCAAAGAGGATGCCTCTTTGCTCCTAAAGGGATGACAACCTCTGAATTAGCGGGAACAGCAAACGGGGCGCTCTCTCCCACCATCTCAGTGACTGTCTACAGCGCACCGTACCCCAGGAGTACACATATCTGCACACACGCCGCAGAGGTCAGAGCTGAATGGGGGCCCTAGGGGACAGGGGGCGTGCCCTCGCCCGAGGACCCCGCATTTTACAGCATTAGCTCCATGGAGGCGCACCGGACGGCAGGCGAACGGCTGACCTTCGGCCCCAACGCGGCCCCGAAGCCGGGGATGGGAACGCGCGGTCCAGGTGGCTGCCTAGACTCCGACCCTGGCCCCTCCGAGGTTAACACTCCCCAGACATAAGACTCCACACTACAGAGGTGCCGCCACCGCCGCGTCCCCAGGAGACACAAACTCGTTCCGTACCTTCCTCCGCAGTCCTGTGCTGGGGACTGGCCCGGCCGGCTGCCCTGCGCTGCGGACTGGAGGTCGCGGTCGGAAACGGCCCAGCCCAGCGGCTGCTGCTGGAACCCACCCCCGCGAAGGTCCGCAGCGGGACGCCGACTTACCACAGACCCGCGCCGCAGCCCCCCTCACAGCGCCTCCAGGGTCCCGCTCCGACACCGGGGGGCAGGTGACTGGTGGAACCTGGAGGCACCCTCGCGAGGGCCCATAAGGGAGGCGGGAGGGGGCAGTCTCCGCCCGGACTCGCAAACGAGGCACGAGGGCTCCGCGCAGTCCCACCTGTGGAGGCCCGTGTCTCATCGCCTGCCAGAGGAGGGGCGAAGGTCAAGGGGCAAAGGGCAAGGGGCGGATTTTCCCCCGCCCCTCCTTGCGCTAGGCCCTGGAGCGCTGATTGGCCGTGTGCTGGGGAGGCGACAAGAGCACGTGTTCCGGCTGGCACGTGCTGAGGGCACGTGCAAAGGACCAGGGGCGGGCCCACTCGCGAAGCCCTGGAGGGCAGATTGGCTACTCCAGGAAGGGGGCGTGTCCCCACGTGAGCTGTCAGGGAGCAGGAGTGGGAGATAGAGGCGAGGGCGCCTGCGCAGTCCTGGCCTGGCCACGTCCTCCCACTGGGTGCAAAGGGCAGGCAGTTCGTGCGCGGACATCGGCCCTGGCTGAGTGTGGCCATGGCGGGTGCTGAGTGGACATCGCTGGAGGAATCCTTGGAGAAGCACCTCCCGCTCCTAGACTTGCAAGAGGTGAAGCGTGTTCTCTACGGCAAGGAGCTCAGGTCCGCAGCCCAGAGGCTAACTTACGGGTCTGGGGGGGCCACAGACTGTGGGTCTTGGGTAGCAGGCAAGGAGGGGCTCAGGGTCTGAAGGGCTCTGAGGAGGTGGTGAGAAGCCCTAAGTTGGCAGGCAGAGACCATAGTATATCTTGATTGGATAGCCCCAGGGTCCTTGGGGGGTTGCAGAATCCTGGGGTGACCTTTGCAAATCTCTTCTCCCCCAAGTTGCCCGGAACTGGAAGAAAAGGACAGGATTTTACTCTCCAGGGCTTTCTCTGGGGCCATCCCAACCCTCCTCCCTGGAGGCGGACTTACTTTCTGGGTGTCTGGCCGGATCACTGCCTCTAGCCAGAGCAGGTGTACTGATCGTCCAGCCCCAGACCATCCTTCCTGCGGTGACCTGACCTCTTTGGCTGACACTTGGAAATAGAGGCTGTCTGCATTTAGTTGGCAAGGGAGCCTTTCCCACTGTTGAGCCACGGGTGTTAGTTACCACGTGCAGATGTTTTTTCACTTCCTGCATCACCAGGACTTTCTGAGGGCTTGTGTACTGCTGGACACTGTCCACAAAGCTGAAAAAAGACACTTGCTCTTTGCTCTAGTTTCTCTTCAGTGCATTTCTTACCAGCAGCAACCAGAGGATCTCTTTAATATGTAAATCATATGCTGTTGCTCCTTTGAGCTTAAAATTCTGTAAGAAATTTCTTAGGCTCTTAGAATGAAATCCAAACTCTGACCACAAGCACCCCCAAATTCTCGTTCAATTTCCTTGCTCATATGTGGGCTCCCTGCCCCCCCAGTCCAGCCAGTCTGCAGGCACCATGACCTTGCGGCAGGAACCAGAACAGTTCACCTGTCACTGAAGGTGCTGATTGGATCAGTGGTTCTGAGCCACAGCTGCTGCGGAGTTACTGCGGGGAGGCTAGACCTCAGATCCAAGGGTGTTTTCACAGCTAGTGGATGATAAAGTTAGAACAGCTGCTTCTGGGGGTGAGCTAGTAGAGAACTTTATCTGAAAGGGCTCTTCATATTGAAAGAGCTGGGTGAACTTTAAGTCTCCTCCCAGTGAATACACTCATGCTCCTATTTCCACTCCACCTGTAAAGACTAGTTCTTGAGAAGTGTCTTAGAGCTGAGACTCCTAAAACTGTCTTAAATAAAGCGAGGGGCGTCTCATGCTTCTAGGGATGGGAATTAGTTCATTCTAAGAGTGGGGTGGGCATGTGTTCCTGGGAAAAAGACAGCGCCTGGGTGCCAGTAAAGAGGTGAAGGAGAAGAGTCTTAGGAAAAGAAGTCAATTTCCTACGGAAGTGTTTGGCTGGGGCACATTCTGGAGAAGGGCTGAGGTCAGGCCAAGAACTGCCCGCAAGAGGTATTTTATCTGAGCATTTGGGTCACTCCAGAGTGGGAGGGATGATGATAATGCCTGACCAATGACTGTCGGGCTTTATCCTAGGGCTCACAATAACTACGTGGCTCCTTTTCCTCTCTTTTCCTGTCCCCTTTTCTTGCTCTGTTCTACTCAGCATTTAGCCCTTTCAGCTTTTTTTTTTTTTTCTTTTTAGGTGTAGTCTTGCTCTGTCGCCCAGGCTGGTGTGCAGTGGTGCAATCTCGGCTCACTGCAACCTCCGCCTCCCAGGTTCAAGCTATTCTCCTGCCTCAGCCTCCCAAGTAGCTGAGATTACAGGCACCTGCCACCACACCTGGCTAATTTTTTGTATTTTTAGTTGAGACAGGGTTTCACAATATTGGCCAGGCTGGTCTCAAACTCCTAACCTTGTGATCCACCCGCCTTGGCCTCCCAAAGTGCTGTGATTACAGGCATGAGCCACCGTGAGCAGCCCAGCCCAGCCCTTTCATCTTTTATCCCTAAGGTATAAACCTTTGTACTTGCTCTGTCCTTGCAAGTGTGTGGGATTTGGCAATGAACAGCCTTTTGAACTGCAGATAGAAAAATTACTGCTCATTTAAATACTCCAATTCCCCTTAAATTCCTATAAACTCCTTAGAATCTGACTTGGACATGGCTGCCTCTGTGAAGGTCCAGTGGACCTGAAGTCCTCGGTGTCTCTCATCTGACTCCCAGTGTGCTCCACACAAGACCACCTCCCCTCCCAGTTACAGTGCTTAGTAAATGTTTGCTCGGTGAATGAGCCAAATGGGCCTTTGCCTGTGGTAGGCAGATGCAATCCCCAGAGAACATCGATTTTCCATTTTAAGACAGCCAGAACCAAAGCAGTCATTCAGTCAACAAACATTCATTGAGCACTTATTTTAGTCTCGGCTGCTGGCACCGGAGATAACAGGATGAGTAAGTCATGGTTCCTGCCCTTGGGGACTTTCCATCTTTTTTTTTTTTTTTTTTTTTTTTGGAGACGGAGTTTCGCTCTTGTTACCCAGGCTGGAGTGCAATGGCGCGATCTCGGCTCACCGCAACCTCTGCCTCCTGGGTTCAGGCAATTCTCCTGCCTCAGCCTCCTGAGTAGCTGGGATTACAGGCACGTGCCACCATGCCCAGCTAATTTTTTTGTATTTTTAGTAGAGACGGGGGTTTCACCATGTTGACCAGGATGGTCTCGATCTCTTGACCTCGTGATCCACCTGCCTCGGCCTCCCAAAGTGCTGGGATTACAGGCTTGAGCCACCGCGCCCGGCAGGACTTTCCATCTTTTGATGGTTGCCTTACACTGTGAGAGGAGGAGAGGAGGCAGGGAGAGCTTGAGAGAATTTGTGTTTTGGGGGTTGTGGGGATGCCAAGAAGGCTTCCTAGGGGGACTATGCTTGAGCTACATCCAGGGGAAGGCAGGAAGGGTACCTGTATCCAGACACCAGGGGAGTCGCCGATTTAGGACTGTGCATGTGAGAGGGTTAGTCACTGAGTGCCCCCCTCCCACCCCCGAGGAAGACCCGAGAGAGGAGACAGGAGTGGCAGGTAAGATCTCTGGGGCTCTGAGGCAGCAGAACTCTGTCCTGATAATGGTGGAGACTTTGAAGAGTTTGACCGGGTGGTTGAGTGAGGAATGACCTGGAATAACTACTGGATGAGCTGAAATTTTTATAAAGGGAAAGGAAAAAAGACTAGCCTGGAAAAAGGCAGGTGAAAGGTGAGAGTTCTGCTGTGAACAGAGTGCCTGGGGCTGGAGAGACAGAAGGCTTCCTTCCAGAGGTCCTGGGGAGGTCAGTGGACAGTGAGGCGGTGAGGATCTTGCCGGCTTCTGGCTTGGACTCTCGGATGAGCAGTAGACTCATCTGATGAGGAGGATCTTCGGACAGGTTGCATTTGAGTGCTGTTTAGTGCCTAGGGCTGTTGTAACAATTGAAACAACAGAAACTTATTCTCACAGTTCTGAAGACCCTAAGTACTAGACCAAGGTGTCAGCAGGGCCGTGCTCCCCCCGAACATCCTAGGGGAGAATCCTCCCTTGTCTTTTCTCGCCGCGGGTGGCTCCTGGCTTTCCTTAGCTTGTGACAGCCAGTCTCTGCCTCTTCTTCACATGGCCTTCTCCTCTTGTCCCTGTGTCTCTCCTGCAGCGTCTCTTCTATTTGTCTGAGCAGGGTGCAATGGCTCACACCTGTAATCTCAGCACTTTGGGAGACAAGGGCTGGAGGATTGCTTGAACCCAGGAGTGCAAGACTGGCCTGGGCAACATAGCGAGACCCCATCTTTATAAAACATTTTAAAAATTACCCAGGAGCCGGGCGCAGTGGCTCAAGCCTGTAATCCCAGCACTTTGAGAGGCCGAGGCGGGTGGATCACGAGGTCAAGAGATCCAGACCATCCTGGTCAACATAGTGAAACCCCGTCTCTACTAAAAATACAAAACATTAGCTGGGCATGGTGGCACGTGCCTGTCATCCCAGCTACTCAGGAGGCTGAGGCAGGAGAATTGCCTGAACCCAGGAGGTGGAGGTTGGGGTGAGCTGAGACCGCGCCATCGCACTCCAGCCTGGGTAACAAGAGCAAAACTCTGTCTCAAAAAAAAAAAAATTACCCAGGCATGGTAGCATGCACCTGTAGTCCTAGCTACACAGCAGGCTGAGGTGGGAGGATCGCTTGAGCCTGGGAGATTGAGGCTGCAGGGAGCCAAGATCTCACTCCAGCCTGGGGTCAGAATGAGGCCCTGTCCACACACATCTGTGGATTTGGGGCTTACTTGGATAATCCAGATTGATCTTGAGATCCTGACCTTAATTGCATCTGTGAAGACCCTTTTTCCAAATAAAATCACAATGACAGATTCCAGGTGTCGGGATGAGAACGAAGTTCTACCAGCTACAGTAGCTTCAGGGTCCACAGGTGGAAATAACCCAGTGGCTGGCTGTTCGCTGTGTGGAGGTGGGCCTCAGGTGGGAGAGGCTAGGCTTGTTGAGCTGTGCTGGAGACGGTCATTCAGGTGGAGGAGTAGCAGGTGCAAAGAGAGAGGCCCTGGAGAGAATGCCAGAAGGCCTGGTTGTTAAAGAGGTCAGAGAAAGAGACTGGAAGATTCTGGAAGTGAGGATTCTGGGGCAGGACCGGGAAAGAAGCGTCAGATGGCGCAGAAACGTCTACCCGGTGAGGACATCGGGAAGTCTGCTGGTTTTAGCTATGATAAGGCTGGTGGCAGTTCCTGAGATGGAGCCAGGAGATGAGGCCTGAGCCGAAGGAAAGCATGTATGGAAGCTCCCTAGGCAGCAGGGGAAGAGAGCAAGTGAGCAAATGTGGACATGTGTGGAGCACTGTCCCGCTTTTTCTTTCTTCCTCTCCTTCCCTCCCTCCCCTGCCCCCTTCTGTTTCTCAATGGGAGAGACTCTTAACAGCTTCAGTGATGAATGTGGAGATCTGTAGATACTAGTGGGGAAAGATGTCCAAGTTAGGTGTATGAAGAGAAAAAGTCAAGTTGAACAGAAAATACAGAATGATGCCATTGAATTTGTGATGCATCCACGTAGGAAAATGGGAAAGAGCCAGGCGCGGTGGCTCACGCCTGTAATCCCAGCACTTTGGGAGGCCGAGGTGGGTGGATCACGAGGTCAAAAGATCGAGACCATCCTGGTCAACATGGTGAAACTCCGTCTCTACTAAAAATACAAAACATTAGCTGGGCATGGTGGCACGTGCCTGTAATCCCAGCTACTCAGGAAGCTGAGGCAGGAGAATTGCCTGAACCCAGGAGGCGGAGGTTGCGGTGAGCCGAGATCGTGCCATTGCACTCCAGCCTGGGTAACAAGAGTGAAACTCCGTCTCAAAAAAAAAAAAAAGACATAAAACATTGTTAAGAGGGGTTGCCTCTGAGTTTTGGGACTGGGGTGGGGTAGAGGGGGAAACTTAATTTTTCATTTTATACCTTCCTCACTATTGAGTTCACCCCTGCCATGAGCACATATCTCTTTTGTAACAGAGCTCCTTTAATTATTTAAAGTGCTGATGGTAAAGAGCCATCAGAATTGGAAAGATGAAGTTCCAGAAGTGAGAGGTTGCTGAGAAGGCAGGAACTTGGTGTCCTCTGGCAAGGTCTGCCTTGACCCTAGGTGGGAGAGGTGGGGGGCCCTGAAAGGGCATGGGGGGGCTAGGATGGGAAGTGACAGACTTTACTCCTTGAAGTCTGAAGGGAAGCCCCGAGCAGGAAGGCCTCAGTAGCAGGGTGAGGGGTAGAAGGTCTGAAAGCCCACTACAGGGACCAGGGCGGGCAGTGGTGGCATGAGGCTGCCTGTGAGGTTATGGCTCATTTGCTGGTCTTGTCCTGCTGGGCAGTGGCTGATTAATGCTTGTCTTAGTCCTTTTGGACTGCTGTAACAAAATACCACAGACTTCCCAGTCCTTGTGGGCAGTCACAGGGAGAAAAAGGAGAAGGCTCTCTGTGTCTGTTTCCCCAAAGACCTGTGGGCCTGGTAGCTGAATGGCCCTTTGGGAATGTCCTAGTGAGCCCTGTCCTCAGCCTGCGGTCTCACACCAGAAAGATGTCAGGAAGAAGAGCTCTTGCCTGAGTGTGCAAACCTGGCTGTAACCAACACCTGGCTGTGGTCTCCCTCCCCATCTTAAACCACATAAATGTATTCCTCGCCATTCTGGAGGCCGTGAAGTCCAAGATCAAGGCACCGCAGCAGATCTGTCTGGTGAGGACCCACATCCTGGTTCGTAGATAGTGCCTTCTCACTGTGTCCTTACGTGGTGAAAGAAGCAAGCAAGCTCTCTTAGGGGGGTCTTGTAAAAGAATACTAATCCCATTTGTGAGGACTCTACCCTCTTGACCTAATCACCTCCCCAAAAAGCCCTGTCAAATCCGAGGTTGGGATTTCAACATGTGAATTTGGGGCAGACATAAGCCTTCAGTGCATCTCAGTGGAAGGTCTGCTACATTTCCCATACCAGGCCTTTGGTGGGCACAGCACATGGTCATTGACTGCATCTGCACAGGGTATGGTATGGCCGGTTAGGATCTCCAAGATGAAGCTGTGTAGGATGTGGGAGCGCAGAGAGGCCTTACGGGTGGTGCCCAGATAGCAGAGAGGAGTGGCTGGGAAGGGGTAGAGCCCCAAAGGCAGCTGTCCTGGTGGGTAGAGTGGCCTCTGCCCTATTGCCTTGGTTTAGAAGAATGAGCTTGCGAGGAGCTGGGGCTGAGGAGGTGGGCAGCCTCAGGGCTGGCCGGACGCAGACACCCCTGGAGGGAAGGAGATGGGTAAAGGAGGTCATGCATGGTGGAAAGATGGGGAGAGAGACTCCAGCCAAATGGTGGCTACAGCTGTGTTTCCATACCCAAGACGACTTCTTCACCTGACATCTTCCTGGTGTGAGACCACAGGCTGAGAGGCCAGGCAGGGTTCACCAGGGCACTCTCAAAGGGCTGTCTGGCTTCCAGGCCCACAGGCCTTTGAGGGAATAGACACATAAGCCTTGCCCCTTTTTCTCCCTGTGTCTGGCCCCACACACATGCTGGAAAGCTGCCTGATCATGGCCACCAGAGGGGATTTGCCCTGAGGCTGAGCCCTGCCCTGTGAGAGCAGCCCTTCCGCTGGAGGGTGGGAGGACTGTCTAAGGCAGTCACAGCAAGGGGAGGCACGGTGTGGGCACTGCTGCTATTTCTAACCTGCCGGAGTGACGGGAACCTTGACTACTTGAAAAGCAGGCTGATTGTCAGGGGCGGAACCGAACTCAGAGCTGTCAGGGCCGTCACATGAAAAGTGCCTGGCAGGGGGCGGCGACAGGGGGCTTGGGCTGACAGGGCTGTGATTTTGAAAGAAACATCTCTAAGAAAGTGATTTAAAGTAGGAGAGAAATATTATTATTAGATAATGGCTGTCAGGTTATTTTTTGATGTGTTCTCTGGGTATTTCATAATCATCTTGCCCTTAGATGGTAAGCCCTTCCTGGCCAGGGGCCGTGTCCCGTGCCTCTGCGGGTTTTACCTCCGGGCGTGCAACAGGCATCAGGAGGTATTTGCTGTTTGGCCAATGGTCATGTCAGTGGAAGGTTTTGCAACTAATTCTCTAGCTTTTGTTAATAAACCACAAAGGTGGATAAGCACTTGGGGCTTCCATCTGAACACCTGGGCCCCGCCAAGCCCACCCAACACCTAGTGTGGACCTGGCCTCCCCCAGCGGGAGCAGCAGGACAGAATGGCCAGGGTCTTTATTCACCACAAGGCCTCCATAGGGTCCCAGGTCATGGTCTCTCCATCCAGCCTTTCTCCCGAGCCTCATTTTCCAAGCTCCTTCCTGCTCCCACAGACTGCCCCACACCCTAGGCTCAGCACAGCCCTGATTCTGGTTCAGAAACACTTGAGAATCTATTCCCTCCTTTCCATGCTGACTGCCAGGACTTTAATTCCTACCCTGATTTCAGCAACTCTAAAACACTAACCTCTTGACTAGCCTCCCCTTTGCCAGGCCTAACTGAGGTCCCCCTGCCAACTGCAGGTAAAGTCCAGGTTCAGTGCAGTGTCTGGTCTTGGCTGGACCACCTGCTCCCCAGCTCTATTGGGCCCTGGCACTGAATGCCTTCTAGCCAGGACACCCTCATCTTTTCTTCCCCTGATAAATAACTGCAGGAAGGCTGGGCATGGTGGCTCACGCCTGTAATCCAAGCACTTTGGAGGCCAAGGCGGGCGGATCACCTGAGGTCGGGAGTTCAAGACCAGCCTGACCAACATGGTGAAACCCCGTCTTTATAAAAAAAAAAAAAAAAAAAAAGAACTGCAGGAAATGGGAGAGGGATTTTAAGTGGAGCAGACTGCCTCAGAATCACCTTCCCTCTTCTTTCCTGCCCATCTAGGAAGCTTGATCTGCCCAGGGAAGCTTTCGAAGCCGCCTCCAGAGAAGACTTTGAACTGCAGGGATATGCCTTTGAAGCGGCGCAAGAGCAGCTGAGACAACCCCGCACCGTGCATGTGGGGCTGGTTCAGAACAGAACCCCCCTCCCCACGGATGCTCCTGTGGCACAACAGGTATAGACTCTTTTGACCATAATAAATACACAAACGGGGCTGTGGCCCGCCCTTTGGAACACACCCCAGGCCCTGGCTGGCCACATACTCCAGGTCTGCAGGCTGGGGTGCCTCAAGGGGTAGCAGATACACTCCTGCCCTGGCCTCCCCACGTCCCTCCGGCCTGCATCGCTGGCCCTTCTGTCTTCCGGTTCTTTCTCTCTTTCTCTCTCTCTCTCCCTCTTCCTCACCGATCTTTCCACTTCTCCCCAGCTATTGATCTGAAGCTCCATTTAACAACCAGGAGGGTGCCCTTTTGGCCACCTTGTGCTCTCCACGGGATGCTGCCCCTCAGTCACCTGCCAGGAGGCGGCCAGCCAGGACATACCGGTCGGGACCATCCATCTGTGTGTTCTTCTGCCTTAATCCTCAGGGCGGGGACTCGCTATACTCAGAAGTCTGCCAGCCGTGGTGCCTGCAGGCTTACGGGAACAGATAGGCATTCACTTATGACCTCACACTTAGTAAATAAAGGTGGCGGCATCTTGTATCTCCCTAAAGAAACATGTTGTCACAGACACAGGTGGTTCGCTTTGTACACTTCTCCACAGCATTCCCCCAGCTGCTCAAACTTGCAGGGATTTCCCTGCACAGGTTTCCTCAGGATACAGCGTGTTGGAGGATTCTTAGGGATTCTGGAGAAACTTAAGGTCTCTTGGATTCCAGGTTGGGTCCTGCATCATCATTCACATTGGTCCTTCCTTTGCTTTTGTTGGATTCACAGATGTCTGGTTCTCGGTTCTCTCACTTTTTGTATCTGGGTTCATTATTTGTGGTTATGTCCCTTCTATCATCCCAGACTGTCAGGTCATAGGACCAGCTATGTCTTTTTCACCCCCACAGCACCTAGACGTATGCTTGCATTTTGCTACCACCAAGCAAATGTGTGTTCATGGGGCTGATGCTGTCAGCAAATATCCACAAAGCCATGGGATGCACAGCCTCTCAAAGGAGGGGGCCACAGGCATTGTAAAGAGTTTGTGCATGCTGGGTTTTCAGCCAGGTTCCCTTGGTCTGTCTTTGAACAAACACTTTTGAATGTCTCCTGGGAGCCAGGCATTGTGCCGAGGACAAGCCGATGGTGAGGATGCTTTCTTCCTATCCCCAAGGAGCCTGTGGGGTCCTGGGAGTGATAGCAGAAGAAGAGTGACACACGATGACCCCCAAAGGCCAGGGGGTGCCGAGTTACCTCAACCCTTGGCCCATATCTGTGAGAGCCTGTAGAGGCACATACAGGGGCGACAGGTGACACAGATAACACCTCCAGGAAGATTAGCTGGGAGGAGGGAAGTAAATTCCTGGCCCAGGGCACGGCACACACCAAAGCATGGGGATTTAAAAGAGCTAGAGAGGGCTGGGCGCGATGGCTCAAGCCTGTAATCCCAGCACTTTGGGAGGCCGAGGCGGGTGGATCACGAGGTCAAGAGATCGAGACCATCCTGGTCAACATGGTGAAACCCCGTCTCTACTAAAAGTGCAAAAAATTAGCTGGGCATGGTGGCACGTGCCTGTAATCCCAGCTACTCAGGAGGCTGAGGCAGGAGAATTGCCTGAACCCAGGAGGCGGAGGTTGTGGTGAGCCGAGATCGCGCCATTGCACTCTAGCCTGGGTAACAAGAGCGAAACTCCGTCTCAAAAAAAAAAAAAAAGAGCTAGAGAGGTGAGGCACTCCATGATAAGATGCACACAGGAGAAGTAGGAGTGCAGGACAGTGGAGAGCGGAATCCTGGGCCGAGGGAGCCGCTGACCCAGGAGATGGGTGTGAGCATGGGCCCTGGGTACGGTAAACAGCACCATCCTCATCCCTGCCTCTCAGCAACCCCAAAGGTCAGGTGGCAGTCTCCCCATTATCAGGCGAGGAAACTGAGGCAGTGTTCAAGCGTCAGCCCAGAGCCTCTGCACCTCCACCTTTTCATGCAGATTTTGGACACAAGGAAAAAAACAAATACAGAGCCTCCCCACCCTCTTCCCCATACCCGGGTGGGCCTCGATTGTTCCATTTGCATTAGGATGAGATCCTAAAAATTGCCTTACCAGCAGACCTAAATGGATTCTAATCCTTTTTAAATCCTCAGGTCTCTGCCGTTCATAAACGCATCAAGTCTATCGTAGAGGTGGCTGCAATGTGTGGCGTCAACATCATCTGTTTCCAGGAAGCGTGGAGTGAGTCTTTTTTACGGTGCTTTTTCTCTAGTGACTTCAAAAAAATTCGGTATTCTCTCCATGTTGCCAGGAGCGTCTGCTGCCTGACTTTTAAAGAATCTCCTTTGTTTTCTCATGTCTAGAAAGGTTCTCTGCCACATCACCAGGAACCCCGGCCTCACTGCTGTCGTGTGCCAGGCTGTTGTCTGGGTCCCATCAGTTTTCCCACATGGTTCTGAATCCATTCACTGCCCCCCATCTCTGTCACTGCCTGGGCCACGCCCCTGGCAGCTCGCCCTGGCTTCTGTAATTCCCTCCAGCTTGTGCCCTGCGCCTTCCCAACCGTTCTTCACCTTCAGATCTCAGCCCAGAGCCAGCCTCCCATCTAAACATTCCTGGTACCATGTACCTTGGTGGTTTTTATTTTTATCAGAGCTATACCTGCTCGTGGTTGAGAGTCAGACGGGTCTACAAGGTCTATTACCAAAAAATAGCTGTTATTCCCAGAGTCAACACTGAGCTAGTTCCTTTGGAATTTTCCTTTATTCGTGTTGCTACTTCCTAATCACCTGTTGATTCTCCGCCCCGCTGCCCATGGAAGATGTCAGTGTTAGCCCTTTCCTGCCTCCTGGCCCCTCTACATACATGTGCCCTTGTTCTTCTATCCCCAGAGCCATTTTGTCCACTTTGGTTCCTTTTTTAAAGACAAGGATTGGAGTGCAGTGGCACAATCACAGCTCACTGCAGCCTTGACCTCCCAGGCCCAAGCAATCCTCCCACCTCAGCCTCCCAAGTAGCTGGGACCACAGGTATACACAGCTAGTTTAAAAAAAAAAAAAAAAAAAAAAAGTAGAAGGTCTGTCTGTTAGCTTTGGAGCCCCTCTCCCTCTGTCTTTGTATAGGGGAGCTTCTTGTGGTTCCCCCTGCCCCACTTCTTTCTTGCCTGTTAAACTCCTTGCTCCTTAAAACTCAAAAAAAAAAAAAAAAAAAAGTTTGTAGAGTTGGGGATCTCGCTATGCTGCTCAGGCTGAACTTTGATTTCTTTTTTTTTATTGTTTTGTTTTGTTTTTGTTTTTGTTTTGTTTTTGCTGTAGATTTTTGTTTATTTGAACTTTGATTTCTTGAATTACTTTGTTTTCCCTAGAGTTTGCTTTGTTTTCTGTGTACTTGCCACACATTCAACCCCAAACTTTCTGCCAGCTCCTAAATCCCCCTTAATGTATTTTAGATGTATCAAGCAGTCTATCAGTTTCATCTCCTCCAGGGAATCTGCCCCACAGCCTTGTGACTGTGTGGTCCGAGTCGGGTGCCCCCTCTGCTGGCCGCACAGTGGCTGTCCTGGGATTCCCCTCACTGTCATCCTGGGGAATCCCTTAGCCTTGCCCTTGTGTTTCTCCCTTCCCACACCTTCCTGTTTCTTGGTTTATACCCTCATTTTGGTAGAGTAGTGTAGTGGATCCTCATACATTTATGTTGCCTTGGCATCCATGCTGAATACAAGTCTAACACTCTCGTATCAGAGGCAGGGCTCAGTCACCCTGTTTCCAGTTAGACACCACACCCACATGGCTCAAGCCAAGTGGCCAGAGGTAAGAACTTAAAGGTTCTCTCCCGCCAGCAGACTGGGCTGCCCACTTTCCTGCTGCTTCCTTTAAATGGACCATCCAGGCATTTGGCCATTAACTTTAGGTGACTACATCTTAGTTACTATATGTACTGCTAGCTGCCCCACACTCTCTCTGTCTGACTCTTCATTTCTGCCTCGTCTGACCTGGGGACAGAGAACTGCCCTCCTGACTCATGGCACTCTCCCTGCCTAGAATCTGGAAGTAAAAGCTGAACTTGTTTCCTATTGCCATGGTGTGTTGAATTTGCACCTTCCATGAGAAGAACCTGGGGCTGCCCCAGGCTGGGTTTTCCCTGGGATACCCGGGGAAACACAAAGTCGGGCTCCTAGTGCCAGAGTGATAGTCACGTAAGAGCCACACAGCATCTGCCAGTATAAACAAGTTCCACGTATGAGGGGCCCCTGGTCACAGGTTGGACAGACAGGCATTAGGCTGTCCACCACGTACAAGATGTATCCCGTGAAAGGCATGCTGTAGAGACCACGTCCAGCTCCCATCATTTCCTGTTAGTGCTGGGTTGCCAGCTGCTCTGGTACTAGGGCCCCCATTTAACTAGGGACACTCAGAACAAGTAGTTCCCTGAGGAAGAACCCATCAGAGGTAAACTTTTTGAGGCCTTGCCCATCTGAAAATATGTTCCTTCTACAATTTTCTTGATAGTTTGGTTGAGCATCATATTTTAGGTTAGAAATCATTTTCCTGCTGGGCGCGGTGGCTCAAGCCTGTAATCCCAGCACTTTGGGAGGCCGAGGCAGGTGGATCACGAGGTCAAGAGATCGAGGCCATCCTGGTCAACATGGTGAAACCCCGTCTCTACTAAATATACCAAACATTAGCTGGGCATGGTGGCGCGTGCCTGTAATCCCAGCTACTCAGGAGGCTGAGGCAGGAGAATTGCCTGAACCCAAGAGGCGGAGGTTGCGGTGAGCCGAGATCGCGCCATTGCACTCCAGCCTGGGTAACGAGAGCGAAACTCCGTCTCAAAAAAAAATCATTTTCCTTCAGAAGTTGGAACATGCATTGTTCTATTGTCTTCTAGCTTTTGGGCATTGCTGAGTCATCCACACCATTTTAATTTGTGACCCGTTGTGACTTTTTTTTCCGGAAGACTGTTGGAGTTTCTCTTTTTCACCAATACTATACAATTTCATAATGATATCCCATTGTGTGTATCTTTTTAAATCTACTATAGGCACTCTGTGGGTTCTTTCCATCTAGAAACTTGGGTTCTGAAGATCTTGCTCTGTCACCCAGGCTGGAATGCAGTGGTGTGATCTCAGCTCACTGTAACCTCTGTCTCCTGGGTTCAAGCAATTCTTTTCTTTTTTGAGATGGAGTCTCACTTTGTCACCCAAGCTAGGGTACAGTGGAGCTATTTCTGCTTACTACAACCTCTGCCTCCTGGGTTCAAGTGATTCTCCTGTCTCAGCCTCCCAAGTAGCTGGGATTATAGGTATGTGCCACCATGCTCAGCTAATTTTTATATTTTTAGTTGAGATGGGTTTTTGCCTTGTTGGCCAGGCTGGTCTCAAACTACTGACTTCAAGCAATCTGCCCATCCCAGCCTCCCAAAGTGCTGGGATTACAGACATGAGCCATCACACCCAGCTGATCTAGGAAATTTTCTTGCGTTATTTTATTCGTTATTTTTTTTCTCCTTCTAGACAGTCCTATTATTAGGATATTGGAACCTGGACTGGTTCCCTAATTATGTTGCGTATTTCCTCCTATTTTGTTTGTTTTTTGACATGTGGTCTCACTCTGTCACCGAGGCTGAAGTGCAGTGGCGCAATCACAGCCCACTGCAGCATTGACCTCCCAGGATCAAGCAATCCTCTTGCAACAGCCTCCTGAGTATCTGGGACCACAGATGCATGCCACCACACCTAGCTAATTTTCTTGATTTTTTTTTTTTTTCTTCCTATAAAGATCAGGTCTCGCTGTGTTGTCCAGGCAGATCTCAAATTCCTGAGCCCAAGCAATCCTCCTGCCTTGGTCTCCGAAAGTGCTGGAACTACAGGCATGAGCCACAGGACCCAGTCACCCAGCCAGTGTCCTATTTCTTATCACTTTGTCATTTTGCTCAGTTTTCTGGTGGATTTGATCTGATTTGTCCATCAGCCCTCCTATTCAGCCTTTCATTTCTGCTGTCAAATTTTGAATTTACTAGCTTATTACATCTTGTTATATTACGTCTGTTATATTACATCTTGTTCTTGCATCATGGTTGCAATATCTTCTCTTATCTCTAAGGATACAAATATTAAGTGAATTTTGTTTTCTCTCTGCATGGTCCCTACTTATTCCAAGTTGGATTCTGTTTTGATTGCTCATATTTTAAGAATTGGGGATTAAAAATCTGTGAGCTCTGAGTTTGTAGGAGGAGCTCACCCACTGAGCCTCCATCATAGGGTGATCTGATTGAGTGGTAATTTCCAGGTAATCCCAATGTTAGTATCTCTGGGTCATTCATTTCAGGCTGGTCAGAGTCCCCAGAGATTTTTCTGCTCTCTTGCCAAGAAGGTCCAGCATGCTGATGTTTACCCAGTCCTGTTTTGACATGTCATTTGCTTTCATCTGCCCTGCTTCTCCAAAGCCAAAGAGCCTCTGTTGAACCATCTTTGGAGGATGAACCTTTAGCCTTCTTCTAGGGTGGAAGGGACAGGTCCTAGCCTCTTGGTGTGGAGAAAGGACTTGGGCTTCTAACTACTGCTGCTTTTTTTTTTTTATATGGAGTCTTGGGAGGGCAGTGGCACAATGTCAGCTTACTGCAACCTCGGCATCCCGGGTTCAAGCAGTTCTGCCTCAGCCTCCTAAGTAGCTGGGACTACAGACACGTGCCACCACACTCAGCTTTTTTTTTTTTTTTTTTTTTTTTTGGTAGAGATGGGGTTTTGCTATGTTGGTCAGACTGGTCTCAAACTCCTGACCTCAGGTGATCCACCCACCTGAGCCTACCAAAGTGCTGAGATTACAGGCATGAGCCACTGCACTTGGCCCTAACTGGTTCGTTGTTGGTTTTTTGGTTTTTTTTTGTTTTGTTTTATTTTTTCAGACAGAGTCTCGCTTTGTCACCCAGGCTGAAATGCAGTGGCGTGATCTCAGCTCACTGCAACCTCTGTCTCCCGGGTTCAAGCAATTCTTCTGCCTCAGCCTCTTGAGTAGCTGGGATTACAGGTGCATGCCACTACACCCAGCTAATTTTTGTATTTTTAGTAGAGACGGAGTTTCACCATCTTGGCCAGGTTGATCTCGAACTCCTGACCTCAGGTGATCCACCCACCTCAGCCTCCCAAAGTGCTGAGATTACAGGCGTGAGCCACTGCGCCTGGCCCCTAACTGCTGCTTAAGTAGACTTTTGACCAGTCCTTGTTTATCATCCTTCCCTGCTTCCCAGCCTTCAGAGGTACCTGTGCGTACCCCTGGTTCCTGAGCTTTCGAGAGGCAGGAGACATTCTTTTTTTTTTTTTTTTTTTTGAGACGGAGTTTCGCTCTTGTTACCCAGGCTGCAGTGCAATGGCACGATCTCGGCTCACTGCAACCTCCACCTCCTGGGTTCAGGCAATTCTCCTGCCTCAGCCTCCTGAGTAGCTGGGATTACAGACACACGCCACCATGCCCAGCTAATTTTTTGTATTTTTAGTAGAGACGGTTTCACCATGTTGACCAGGATTGTCTCGATCTCTCGACCTCGTGATCCACCCGCCTCGGCCTCCCAAAGTGCTGGGATTACAAGCTTGAGCCACCGCGCCCGGCTGCAGGAGACATTCTTAACTGCTAGCAGGACTCAGTTTTCTCTGATCTACTGAGAGATTTGCCTGCATCCACCTTCCAGCTACTCATGTTTTGGTACTGCTTCCCCTCCCTCAGTGCCCTATCTTTGTGGGTAGATGCCTTGGCATGAACATTGCTTTCCTATCATGTTGATGGGGTTTCAGGAAAGAGCTCACGTCTAAGTCCAGTCTGCATCTGTACCCATAAGTTCATGTCGTTTTCCTGTGTTTTATTAATTTGCACTCTCTTCATTAGGCTATGAGCTGCATGAGGACAGTACCTGTGTGTGTTTTTCCCAGCCCTCCACCCATTCCTGTTTTATCTTTAGTGGCAAGAATAATCCCTGGTGCATGACAGGCTCTACAAATTAGTATTGACTGGATAATTGAACTAACATCTTCCCTTTCTTGGATCTGGAACTCCCTCTCATGTATCAAGGTCCAGCACAGCACCCCTCCTTTGTGGGGCCCTGGGGACTCCCCCAGGCAGAGCTGACCACTGTGTCCCGCCAGGTTGTGTGGCCACACCAGGTTCTAATTCATCTCCTTCCCTCTAGGCTGGCAGTGTCTGAGGGCCAGGTGTTGGGTCAATGCTTGTGGAACCCCTTTCCGTCTAGTTGAAGAACTGTAGTTGGGACTTTGCAGCCAGCCTCACCCAACCCCCTCTTCCACATCCTTCTTTTGAAAGTGTGTTTACATTAGAGTGGTTGTGTAAACAGGAAAAGAAGTCATTTATTCTCTGGGGGCACTTGACTCACTCCTAATGCTCTGAAAGCTGAGAATTAATGGTCATTAAGGAGCATTTGTGTTTTCAACAGCTTTTCTGATGGCTTCCTTAAAATAATTCATCTCTCTTCACAGAAGGCGAGCCTGGGGAGCCTTGAGCCTGGTACCAAGGCCCCCGGGGCTGTTGCTGGCAGTGCCTGCCGCCTGCTTGGTAAGATGGCAGTGGTGCCATTGGCAGCATATTTGCTGTGATACTCTTAGGACCAGTCTTCCTGGGACTGGAAGGAATTGAGAGGCTGAGGCTTCTCTTCCTTCTCTGTGAAGTAAAGGGGGTGATGCTGCTTCACAGGGATGTTGGAAATGAGCTATTATTAATACCGGAGTTATAAAGAAATATTTTTAGGCAGCTAGAAAAGGGGTAAAGGTTTTTGTGGAACCTTTTCCTGTAATAAGAAGCAACCCCTGGCCGGGCACGGTGGCTCAAGCCTGTAATCCCAGCACTTTGGGAGGCTGAGGCTGGTGGATCACAAGGTCAAGAGATCGAGACCATCCTGGTCAACATGGTGAAACCCCGTCTCTACTAAAAAACTACAAAAAATTAGCTGGGCATGGTGGCGCGTGCCTGTAGTCCCAGCTACTCAGGAGGCTGAGGCAGGAGAATTGCCTGAACCCAGGAGGCGGAGGTTGCGGTGAGCCGAGACCACACCATTGCACTCTCAGCCTGGGTAACAAGAGTGAAACTCCGTCTCAACAACAACAAAAAAAGCAACCCCTGAACCATTTCTTTTTTTTTTTTTTTTTTTTTGAGACGGAGTTTCACTCTTGTTACCCAGGCTGGAGTGCAATGGCGCGATCTCGGCTCACCGCAACCTCCGCCTCCTGGGTTCAGGCAATTCTCCTGCCTCAGCCTCCTGAGTAGCTGGGATTACAGGCACACACCACCATGCCCAGCTAATTTTTTTGTATTTTTGGTAGAGACGGGGTTTCACTATGTTGACCAGTATGGTCTCGATCTCTTGACCTCGTGATCCACCCGCCTCGGCCTCCCAAAGTGCTGGGATTACAGGCTTGAGCCCTGAACCATTTCTTTTCTAATAGAAAAGGCTTCTTAAGCTAGCAAGCTTTGATATGCAAATACAGGCAATTAGAAACTGGGTCCCCCCAACTAGGCCAACGTGGTGATTCCTGCCCTCTTCTTGTCACCACCTGTGCTAAGTGTCTTGGCTGCCTCCAGATAACTCACACATGTTCAAGACATCATGGTGGCTCATATTTGCATATCAAAGGACTAAGGTGGGAGGGCCAGGTTTTTTGCAGGCTACTTGAATGACAAACCTGGTCAAACCAATCCCCAGGGCCCTATGCAAATCAGACACCTCCTCCTCCAGCCTCCAAATATAACCAACAATCTTTTCCGCTGCACACAGGGTATTTCTTTGTTCGTACGGACATCCCCGTCCCTTTGTCTCTGTATGGGGGAGCTATTTTCTATCAAGCACTGTGTTCCACATGTGCTTGGCATTTAGGAAATGCTGGCTACAATTGTTACTCCTAAACAGGCCATAAGCCCCTAGCAGAGGCCAGTTAAACACTGCCGGATCACATCAGGCAGCTTTCTGCAAACCCTCCTCAAGTTAGTTCAAACTAGCTGGAAAAATAGCAGACAACTGAAAACTTCTGTTAGGCTAATGCCTTTAAAAGAAATAGACTTGGGCTGGGCATGATGGCTCATGCCTATAATCCCAGCACTTTGGGAGGCCGAGGCAGAGGGATCACCTGAGGTCAGGAGTTCGAGACCGGCCTGACCAACATGGTGAAACCCATCTCTACTAAAAATCCAAAAAAAAAAAAATTAACCAGGCGTGGTGGCAGGCAGTTGTAATCCCAGTTACTTGGGAGGCTGAGGCAAGAGAATCACTTGAACCTGGGAAGTGGAGGTTGCAGTGAGCTGAGATTGTGCCATTGCACTCCAGCCTGGGCAACAAGAGCAAGACTCCATCTCAAAACGGCAACACCAACAACAAAACAAAGAAATGGACTTGGGTTACTGTGATGTGGGAGATCTGCAGACTGTACTGCATTGGTCCAGATAAGGAATTCAGTTTTCCACAGTGAGAAAGAAAAAGATGAATAGCCCAGTAGGAAATAGGCAAAGGGTATGAACAAAAAAAATGTAGAGGAAGAATCCAGATGGGCCAGTGAGTATGTGGTACGGGGCTCAGCCTCACCGGGCATATGGGAAACTTTTTTTTTTTTTCTTGAGACGGAGTTTCACTCTTGTTACCCAGGCTGGAGTACAATGGCGCGATCTTGGCTCACCGCAACCTCCACCTCCTGGGTTCAGGCAATTCTCCTGCCTCAGCCTCCTGAGTAGCTGGGATTACAGGCACGTGCCACCACGACCAGCTAATTTTTTGTGTTTTTAGTAGAGACGGGGTTTCACCATGTTGCCCAGGATGGTCTCGATCTATTGACCTCGTGATCCACCTGCCTCGGCCTCCCAAAGTGCTGGGATTATAGGCTTGAGCCACCACGCCTGGCTAGCCCTTAGCATATTCTTAAAGGTTCATCCATGTGAGCATGTGTCAGAATTTCTTCCCTTTTTAAAAGGGCTGAATAATATTCCATTGTGTGTGTGTGTATGTGTGTGTGTGTGTGTGTATATATGTATATATATATACACACCACATTTTACATGCATGTATCAGAATTTTTTCCCTTTTTAAGAGGGTGGAATAATATTCCATTGTGTATGTATACACCACATTTTACCAGCATGTATCAATTTTTTCCCTTTTTAAGAGGGCTGGTGATATTCCATTGTGTATATATATATATATACCACATTGTACCTATCAGTTATTTGTTGATAAGACAGTTGGATTGTTTCCAGCTTTTGGTGATTGTCAGTGATGTTCCTGTAAACATCAGTGTGCAAATATCTGTGCTGCAGTTGTTTTTAAGACTTTGGGAAAGACATTTGGCCCAGCCTCTTGTTTGCCATGAAGCCCAGAGGTAGGGGCTGCCCAGTGCCCACAGCCAGGAATGGAACCCAGAAGCCAGGCCGTGGCACTCCTGAGACTGTATTCTCTTGCAGTGACCTCCTGCTGCTGGGCTGAGGAGCCCCCCTCAGAGGCTGTACATTTGGGATATAATTCTGCCCTTTCTCCTATTTATAGCGATGCCCTTTGCCTTCTGTACGAGAGAGAAGCTTCCTTGGACAGAATTTGCTGAGTCAGCAGAAGACGGGCCCACCACCAAATTCTGTCAGAAGGTAGGACATTAACTGTGCCTCTGGTAGCAGCTGCCAAACATGTGCAAGTCACAGCATGACCACAGCTGCTGGGTATGGCCTTTCACATGGAAAATGCGCTCCTTTGGTGTTTGTTTTACCAGATAAGATTAGATAAGACTATTTGCCACCTTTTTTTTTTTAAGCATACTCTTAAAATTGGAGACTGTAAGGCTCCAGAAGGGCCATTAGTAGCTTTTTTAGGCAAGGGAGCTGCAGCCCAGGGAGGGTGGTAGGAGGTGACTTCTGTAGTAAGTGCTGCACCTGGCAAGTGGCAGAGCTGGTGCTCGAGTATCAGAGGGGCCAGTTCCTTGCCCAGAGCTCTGCCGGCTCCGCTACAGTTAGCCTGTGTCACAGAAGCTTCGATTCATGGCCTATGTCTCATCAGCGTAGAATTGTTTATTTTTCTTCACTAAAACCTCATAATACAGGCCAGGCGCGGTGGCTCAAGCCTGTAATCCCAGCACTTTGGGAGGCCGAGGCGGGTGGATCACGAGGTCAAGAGATCGAGACCATCCTGGTCAACATGGTGAAACCCCGTCTCTACTAAAAATACAAAACATTAGCTGGGCATGGTGGTGCGTGCCTGTAATCCCAGCTACTCAGGAGGCTGAGGCAGGAGAATTGCCCGAACCCAGGAGGCGGAGGTTGGGGTGAGCCGAGACCGCGCCATTGCACTCCAGCCTGGGTAACAAGAGCAAACTCTGTCTCAAAACAAAAACAAAAACAAAAACAAACAACAAAGAAAAACCCCTCATAATACATGTCGTGTGGTCCTATTTACATGAACTCTCCAGAATAGGCAAATCCATAGAGAAGATTAGTGGCAGTGAGGGGCTAGGGGCGTGGAAGGAAGGGAGTGATTGCTAATGGGTACAAAGTTTCCATTTAGGGTGATGAAATGTTCTAAAATTAGATAGTGGTGATGGTTGCGCAACTCTGAATATCCTGAATACTACTGAATTGCACACTTCAAAAGAGTGACTCCTTGTTCTGCTCTTTCCCCACTTCCCATTACTGGACTTGACCAATAATCTTTTTTTTTTTGAGACAGAGTTTGGCTCTTGTTACCCAGGCTGGAGTGCAATGGCGCAATCTCGGCTCACCACAACCTCTACCTCCTGGGTTCAGGCAATTCTCCTGCCTCAGCCTCCTGAGTAGCTGCGATTACAGGCATGTGCCACCATGCCCAGCTAATTTTTTGTATTTTTAGTAGAGACGGAGTTTCACCATGTTGACCAGGATGGTCTCGATCTCTCGACCTCGTGATCCACCCGCCTCGGCCTCCCAAAGTGCTGGGATTACAGGCTTGAGCCACCGCGCCCGGCCTATTTTCGCCTCTTAACGAAAGAACTCTCTTCATTTCTTTATATTCTCTCTCAGATTTTATGTGCATACTTTGGGGCTTTTGCGGCACAGCTATGTGTAATCATGGTGACTTTATCAGTACTTAGTTGTGATTCCAAACACTGGTGTTCTCAGGCTATAGGGGAAAAAAAAATCTGTCACTCACCAGGTTGTTGGTTCGTTGCTGTGGAGAAGAGGAAGGGGACTGGTTAGGGGACTTTTGCAGATGATAAGCCTGAGCCAGGGCTGGGGAAGAGTGTAAAAGGGAGCTGATGCCAGGGACACTCTGCTTCCGCAGGGACTTACGGCTGCTCTAAACACGGCCCTTAGTCCTGTTTTCTGAGTGTGCCTCTTCCCTGTTCTGTTGTTAAAGCCAGAGATCATGATGGCTAATTAGAGCAGAGGACCAATGACCCACCAGGCTGCTCATCCTGAGGTCACCAGGGCTTGATGTTCTTACTTGAGACAAAAGGAATTTGCTGTCAATGAGATTTATTTTTGGTATAGATAAGAAGTTTGATGATGATGATGATGATGATTTTTTTTTTTTGAGACGAAGTTTCGCTCGTTACCCAGGCTGGAGTGCAATGGCATGATCTTAGCTCACCGCAACCTCCGCCTCCTGGGCTCAGGCAATTCTCCTGCCTCAGCCTCCTGAGTAGCTGGGATTACAGGCATGCACCACCATGCCCAGCTAATTTTTTGTATTTTTTTTTTTTTTTTAAGATGGGGTTTCACCATGATGGCCAGGCTGGTCTTGAACTCCTGACCTCAGGTGATCCACCCACCTTGGCCTCCCAAAGTGCTAGGATTACAGGTGTGAGCCACCATGCCCAGCCTTAATTTTTTGTATTTTTAGAAGAGACGGGGTTTCACTATGTTGACCAGGATGGTCTCGATCTCTTGACCTCATGATCTACCTGCCTCGGCCTCCTGAAGTGCTAGGATTACAGGCATGAGCCACCACACCGGCCTTCTTTTTATTCTTTTTTTAAAGTGTAAAATATATATAAAATATACCATTTTAACCATTTTAAGTTCAATACTGTAAAGTATATTCACATTATACAGATCTCAAGAACTTTTGCATCTTGCAAATCTGACTTGATACCCGTTAAACAATAGCTCCCCACTCCCCCAACCCCTGGCAACCACCATGCTATTAATATTATACTTTCCATTTCTGCGAATTTGACTACTCGATACCTTACACAAATGGAATCATATAGTATTTGTCTTTTTGGGACTGGCTTATTTCATTTAGCATATCATCAAAGTTCATCCATGTATAGCATAGAACCATAGCATCTAAGGCTGAATGATACTCCATTATATGGGTGTGCCACGTTGCGTTTATCCATTCACCCACTGATGGGCACTTGGGTGAATGGATGAACGAAACATGGCACATTTCACCCAAGTGCCTGTCACATTTGTAAACCCATGTTCAGTGTGGCATTACTCACAACAGCAAAAAGGTTGCTATTGTCAGTAATGCCGCAGTGAACATGCATTTGCAAATCTCTTTGAGACCCTGCTTTCAGTCCTTTTGGATATATACCCAGGATTGGGATTGCCAGATCAAATGGTAATTCTTGTGTCATTTTTTGAGGAACTCCCATATGGTTTTCCAGAGCAGCTGCGCCATTTTGCCGTACCACCAACTGTGCACAGGACAATGACGGTTCTTATTTAGCAAAGCGTGGACGTCAGGGCAGTTAGTGTTCCAAACAAGTGCAAGTGATTGCTCTGACCCAAGCCTAATGATTTAGTAGGACCATTAAATTCTTCCTCAATAAAAAACTACAACAATTGGTTTGAAAGTGGGACTCTGCTATATTCATCATTTTTCCAGCTGGCAAAGAACCATAACATGGTGGTGGTGTCTCCCATCCTGGAACGCGACAGGGAGCATGGGGACGTTTTGTGGAATACAGCCGTGGTGATCTCCAATTCTGGAGCAGTCCTGGGAAAGACTAGGAAGAACCACATCCCCAGAGTGGGTGATTTCAACGAGGTGAGCCACTGTCAGATAACCAGCCCTGCCCACTTGCCCCTCTGTGTACTGTGGATCTCTGTGGGACTTTCTGTGGGGAAGTTCCGTGCAGGGTAATGCTCCATGTCATGAACACTCCGCTGGTCCACAGTGTGGCTGCGGGGCTCAGAGGCTCACCTGACATTGCCGTGCATCACACAGGCAGACAGGATTCAGGCAGGACTCTTTAGAGGAGTCCCAACACCTTTAGCACAATGGCGTATTTTTTTTTTTTTTTTCAATACAACCTGATTTGGCCTCCTGAATTCTTCTTTGAAGTCGGTAGGATGTATATAAATTAAAATCAAAAACAGGCTGGGCGTGGTGGCTCAAGCCTGTAATCTCAGCACTTTGGGAGGCCAAGGCAGGGGAGGATCATGAGGTGAGGAGTTTGAGACCAGCCTGACCAACATGGTGAAACCCTGTCTCTACTAAAAATACAAAAATACAAATTAGCTGGGTGTGGTGGCGGTCACCTATAATCCCCGCTACTTGGGAGGCTGAGGCAGGAGAATCGCTTGAACCCAGGAGGCTGAGGTTGCAGTGAGCTGAGATCGCGCCATTGCACTCCAGCCTAGGTGACAGAGCGAGACTCTGTCTCAAAAAAACAAAAATAAATACTGCACAAACACGAAATTATTCCTGTGGCCCCTTTTCAGACTCAGAGCCTAGCACACCACAGCCCTGTCCTTGTTTGGACCATGGCATTCCTTGTCCATGACTCATGGGGGGGGTCTGAGGTGGCCCATGTCTGTGTCAGGTGACAGCGAGCAAACGTGTATCTGTGTATGTGTGCATTATGTGGTGTTTTCATGTGTCCTGTGATCAGGGCATAAGTTGGGGGGACCATTTTAGTTGATTAATGCCAACCCCTAGATAGGTAAGATGGCAGGGGGTGGACATTTGAAGGAGGGAAATGAGCGCTGTCTACTGCCTAAGATTCTAAATCTGAACTTGCTTTGTGGTTAATACAGTTGTTCAGGGTGTGATGTCCCCAGTTCTCTCTCCATGATTGTGGGAGTCCTGGCCGTTCTCAGGCTGGTCAGACAGACGAGAAATGGTCTGCAGTGCTAGAGAAGGTTTCCCAGGGAGAAAGACGAACCCAGTGTTTCTCAGAAACAGCAGGAGGTGGGGGTAGAAGACGCACCCCTAACCTGTTTACCCTGGGATTAATATTTAGCTCCCTACAGATATAGCACAGGGCTTGTCTCAGCGCAGCAGGATCTACTCTGGTGTCCACCACATGCACACATCCTGGTTGTTGCCTGACCATGGCCAATTTTGATGGCCAGGGTCAGGAGGAGGTGAAAGGCTCCCAGAGCCAGGCGTGGTGGCTCAAGCCTGTAATCTCAGCCCTTTGGGAGGCCGAGGCGGGTGGATCACGAGGTTGAGAGATCGAGACCACCCTGGTCAACATGGTGAAACCCCGTCTCTACTAAAAATACAAACAATTAGCTGGGCATGGTGGCGCATGCCTGTAATCCCAGCTACTCAGGAGACTGAGGCAGGAGAATTGCCTGAACCCAGGAGGCGGAGGTTGCAGTGAGCCGAGATCGCACCATTGCACTCCAGCCTGGGTAACAAGAGCGAAACTCTGTCTCAAAAAAAAAAAAAAAGCTCCCAGAGCAGATCTGTTTGGGATCCCGATTTGCCCTCTAGCTTCCCTCAGTGCTGTCCAGGACAGTGTCCCTGCCCTGGCACCGTGAGGAGCAGACAGACAGGCAGAGATGGGAGGATGGGGTCCAGTGTGCCTGCCCCACAGGGACCTCCTTAACCCTAGGCAGGTTGGAGAAGGTGCGCTTTCAGGGTTCCACTAGAAGGTCTGGCCTTAATCATTTGGGCGAGTTACGCCCACTGAGGAAACAGCTTTCTCCTCTGAACAGGGAGATGGTTACTTGGATGTGCTCCGGGTCCCCGGGGCTCCACTGTTCTATATAATGACGTGTGGTAGCTGAGGGCAGTGACCACCTCATGTTAACGCCAGCCAAACCTGAGCCTTAGAGTTGGACCACGACTGAAACCTCACCAGAATTTGAAATAGTGTGGAACGTCATTGTGGTGACTTTTTTGACATGTCACAAAGGAGACGGGGCAAATACTTCAGCCACTGTAATTTCCCCCGGGGGTGGCTTGTTTGGTGTCAGGGTTTTTTTCTGTGTGTTTTGTTTTTATCATACTGAAATTCTGGAACTTAGAGTCACTCAGGAGTGTAACCATCCCTGGACTACAGGTGATACTTCTGTTTTTCTGCCAAGTCTAAGGAAAGGGACATCTTAAAGGTCAGAGGCATCAGTATGTGGCCCTTTGCTTTTCAGTCCACTTACTACATGGAAGGAAACCTGGGCCACCCCGTGTTCCAGACACAGTTTGGAAGGATTGCGGTGAACATTTGCTACGGGCGGCACCACCCCCTCAACTGGCTGATGTACAGCCTCAACGGGGCCGAGATCATCTTCAACCCATCGGCCACCATTGGAGCACTCAGGTGACTCACTTGGTGGGGTCTGGGGGCTTCCTGGGGCCCAGCCAGCTGAAACCCAAGGGTGGGCTGTGGAGCTCAAAGGTGGCAGCAGGCAGTCCCAGCCACCAGGATGTTAACAGAGCTGAGCCCCGTGTGACCAGCTTTTCAGTTTAAAAAAAAAAAAAAAATCCTTGAGATGGTAATGAACAATCCCCCACCACAGCAAGAGCTGCTCTACGGTAAAACACCAACCTCTGCTGTGATTCTGAAGACTGAGATGAAAATAATTCCCCCCTTCCCTGTAGTCACCAGGGGACTTCAGAAAGCCCCACTTTGGGCTGGGCTCGGTGACTCACACCGGTAATCCCAGCACTTTGGGAGACCAAGGCAGGCGGATTACTTGAGGTCAGGAGTTCGAGACTAGCCTGGCCAACCTGGCAAAACCCTGTCTCTACTAAAATTACAAAAAGTAGCTGGGTGTGGTGGCATGCACCTGTAGTCCCAGCTACTTGAGAGGCTGGGGCAGGAGAATCACTTGAATCTGGGAGGTGGAGGTTGCAGTGAGCCAAGATGGCACCACTGTACTCCAGCCTGGTGACAGAGTGAGACTCTGTCTCAGGAAAAAAAAAAAAAAAAAAAAAAAAAAAAAACCTCACATCTAAGTCCTTGGAGCATAGTAGGTGCCAGACATCTGGACAAGAGAAGCAGCAAATGAGGGAGCTGCTGATCAGTCAAGGAAACTTGTCTTTAACCAGAGAAGGGTTTTATTTTTGTAACACCTAAGTGTTTTGGTGTTAGCCTCACCCCTAAACAGATACAACTGGCCTTGTCAGGCAGGGCTGGGGGATGAGGGGAGAGTGGCCCTGGAAGTCCGAGAACTCCTGGGCAGCACCCCACCCCCTGGGCCCCTCATTTAGGAGCCACAGCCAGTGAGCTGATCTGAGCCTGCCTGACTGTGCTGCTGCTGCCTCTCTCTTCCCCAAAGGCTAAGCATTTGGGTGGTTTCCAGTTTTGCATCACTACAAGTAACAGAACTCTAGGAATTTATATGCAAATACTTTCTTCCCAACTCACTTCCTCCCAAGCAGGATTCCTGCAGCAGGAGGTGCTGGCTTTCACTCTCTGTGGTCTTGGCTGTCCATGTCCTCAGCAGGACAGGGGTGTGCCCTGTCCTGCTGTGGGTGGGGAACGGGGAGCTCTGGTGGGTGGGCAGCTTTGAGTCTCTGCAGCCCACACTCGTCTCTCTTGTCCTCATTCTCGACGAAATTTCGATTGAATTTCTTCTAAATGTCAGGGTGTAATGTTTACCTTTTCTTTTCAGCACACTGCCCCTTTCTCAAGAGTGACATCCCCTCCGCCTTCTGCGTTTGCACAGCAGGTTCCTTCTGGAGCCAGAATGTAACCCCTTGTCTGTTACCTCAGGTCTACCACCCTGCCCACGAACCTGGAGGTCTGGTCCATGTCCAGGAGGGGTACTGTTGGGTAGAAGGGGAAAAATCAGCCCTCAATCTCCCCTCAGAGAACATTCTGGAATCTTATGGTGGCCAGGTCACCAGTGACAGCGTTCATTGGTGGTCGGGGGTAGGGTTATTACTGGTCATCCAGCTACCAGGCCTGAGCAGAACTTTGCTCCACCCCCTAGAGCAGCCCCCTCCGCTGGCTCTGAGTAAGATACTTGGCAAGCTCCATCTCCCTGCAGGGGTCCCTAGAGGAACCAGAAGCAGGAGCGTATCTGGCTTCTGGGCCAGAGCAGGCAAAGCTATGGCCATGGACTCAGATGGCTCCTGGCCTTGTGTGTTCAGAGGCCCTCCCTAACCCTTTCATCTTAGGCTTTTATTAGCTCCGGTGAGGCAAACAGAAGCACCCCAGTGTAATATGCATATAATTGCTATGTCCTCAGCAGCCTATTAGGCTTATTAAAAATGATTGATTTTTCCTTCCTCAGCCAAGAATCATCCAACCCTTGGCTTTTCAGGGTGAGGCTGGTAGTAAAAACTACCACGTCTTTTGGAAGGCAGTATGTTTCATGAGCTCCTAAAATGCTCATGCCCTTTGGCCTGACAATGATACCCTTAGAACTGCAGCCTGAAGAAACGATCTAAAAGAGGGAGGGAGAGCCAGGCACAGTGGCTCACATCTGTAATCCCAGCACTTCGGGGGGCCAAGGCTGGCAGATCACTTGAGGTCAGGAGTTTGAGACCAGCCTGACCAACATGGTGAAACACCATCTCTACTAAAAATACAAAAACTAGCCAGTCGTGGTTGTGGACCTCTGTCGTCCCAGCTATTCCGGAGGCTGAGGCAGGAAAATCGCTTGAACCCGGGAGGCAGAGGTTGCAATGAGCTGAGACTGTGCCACTGCATTCCAGCCTGGGTGACACAGCAAGACAGGAAAAAAAAAAAAAATGGGAAAGGCAATGCCTGCGAAGGTACTCACAAATCTTATTTACAATAATCAAAAAGCTGGCCTCGGGGGAAGTGTCCAGGTTAAGTATATTGCAACCCATCTCTTCCACAGGTGATTGTACAGCCACTAAAAAGAGTCATTATGAAGGTAATGCAACATGACAAAAGCCTGTGAGCAAGAAAAAGATGTTCAGGCTATGGTCAGAACTCTTGGAAAAAAGAAAAACAAGTTAGCCTATGGAGAAGGATAGTCATGGAGTGTGGGTGAAAGGCAGCAGGTGGTTTATTATATGATAGGCTTCTGGGTGGTTTGCTTAAAATAATTAATGATGGAATTGATAGTGTTTTTTAGCACGATGCTGGGCAAATCCCCACCAGCTGCACACAAGCATTAGATCATAGCTTCCAGAACCATCCATTCCCTTTTCTGGCACCTTCTGCCTGTGTAAGAGACAGACACGTACATGTGTATGCACACACGTGGGCCAGCAGGGTGTCGTCATTCATTTTTGAGTCCCACAGTTCTCAGCACATAGTAGTGTCTGAGTGCTTTTGATTGGGTTATCCCGATAATCCCGGAATGTGTCCTTTGCAGCTTGTATGACCGAAGATTTCTGCCACCTGTGTATATTCATTGGCAAGTCACCATCCCATCCCCTTGCTGCATCTTGCCTTCCCACTGCGATTATTTTTAGGGCTTTGTGAGCACTGCACTGGGAATATGGCAACGGTCCCCACTTCCCCTTCGGACTCATGATTCCCTCACACACTGGGCTCTCACTAACCCCAGCTTCCTTTCCCCTGGTAGTTTTGAGAGCATACATTTCATTTTATTGCCAGCTGTGGGTTTGGGTCCTGTGCAGAACACCTCCCTGGAGAATTGCAACTAAGATGTTTATGGCAATCGCCCTGCAAGTGTCTGTTTAATTCCTGAAAATGTCATTTACTGGTGTGTTTCTGTAAAAGTCGTTTCTGAAAAGTTTTGTCAGCTTGGCTTAGCAGCTGGGGGAAAAAAAGCAGCAAAATGAGTCCCCTCAATCAAGCTTGTGATTGTTTTTTTTTTTTTTTTTTTTTTTTTTTAGACTTGTGAATCCTCCTGAGAATTAGGCTTGTGACAAGCACCCACCCCCTCCACCTACTCCCTGGTTTAAACCAGGTGCATGCTGACAGGAAGATTCCGGGGCATTTTGCTCCCAGTCACACGGTGTTTCTAAGTGGGCATTACTCCTGTCAATCTGGAGTCTTAAAGATGTTCCTCAGACAAAAGATAATTAGTGACAAGAAGGCCCACTGGCTTCCATGTCACATCTTCGTTGGCAGGCCAGAGAAGGACAGGGTCTCTAGTTGAGGCTCTATCTCCCGTCACACTCTGCCTTTGCAGGTGCTAGACTGAGGAAGGCCCACAGCTCAGCCGAGCCCATGGGATGCCTCCCTGCTGGGCCACTTCCCCACTGGCCAGTAAGAGAACCAGGGAGTCTTTAGAGACTCAGGGTTCAGAAGAGGGAAATGGGAAATCACTGGGGAAATGGACCAGCCTGAAGGAGGTGATCCTGCTGCAGAATCTGACCCCTTATCCCATTACCTAAGTTCCTTTCTTGTTTGCTGGCCCTGAAATCTCCCCCTTTGGAGATTGCCTTGCCAGGCAGCACAGAAAGGTAGGAGAGTTAAGATAGGGCAGGTAGCGCCCCTGCTTAGCCCTCACAGGCCCTGCACAAGCCCTCCAGGCCCCTGGCTCCCTTCTGGCATTCACCAGGAGAGGTTCTGCCCAGCCCAGAAGGTGGGTTCCGGGAGAAGAGATGGAGGCGGAAGTGGTGGTTATGGAACTCCTACCACATGGATCTTCACCTGCGTGGTCATTCAGTCTTCACAGTCTTCCTCTGAGGACCTTTCAGAAAAGGAAACAGGCTCAGGATGAGGATTTGATCCAGGTCTGCTAATTCTGGCAGAGCACAGCCACGTGGCTTCTGCCTGCAGCAGTCCCTTCCCAGAAGGGTGTTCAGGCCAGGGCAAGGTGCTGAAGACAGGCTGGCCTGCTTGCAGGTTTGGGGTGTGACCAGTGAGTCTTCTGGCTGTCCCCACCACTGGCCCAGGAAAGCCTGCAGCCAGGCCGAGCTCAGAGGGCTGAGCATCGACAAAGTCTGGCCAGAAAGTCGGCAACCTGGTTCCTCTTGGTCCTCTCTTACAGCGAGTCCATGTGGCCCATCGAGGCCAGAAATGCAGCTATTGCCAATCACTGCTTCACCTGTGCTATCAATCGCGTCGGCACGGTAAGTCCCGAGGTCTGGCTGGGGAGAGGAGCCGCCACCTGGTGGCCCTGGTGGGGACACCCCATTCCCTCTGCACATGTGCCACAAATCCTAGGGTCCGGAAAGGGGTAAAACTGGCTTGGTCTGTTACTTTTAAGGATATCTCTGTCGTCCTGGTTTTTTCTGTTTTTTTTGTGTGTGTTTGGCTGAAACCATTTTGAAAAGATCTTTGATGTGGCAGTTCTCACCCTGTCACCTCCAAGTATCCAGTTTATTTTCCCCATTGGCCTCATTCCCTGAACAGTTCTGACTGCCAACCAGAATGCACTTATATAGTCTCTGCCTCATCCTTATTAATCAGATATCAGACACCAATCAGAGAATCTGATCAGTCTGAGATAACCAGTGTTCCACACGAAGTCGATCGATCTGACTTCTAACAGCATAAAGAAACCTGATCTTTTTGGCTGGGTGCAGCAGCTCACACCTGTAATCCCAGCACTTTAGGAAGCCGAGGCTGGCAGATCACTTGAGGTCAGAAGTTTGAGACCAGCCTGGCCAACGTGGCAAAACCCTGTCTCTACTAAAAATATAAAAATTAGCAGGGCAGGCTGGCACGTGCCTGTAATTCCAGCTACTCAGGAGGCTGAAGCATGAGAATTGCTTGAATGAGGAGGCAGAGATTGAAGTAAGACAAGATCATACCACTATACTCCAGCCTGAGTGAGTCTCCGCCTCAAAAAAAAAAAAAAAAAAAAAAAAGCTGGGCGTGGTGGCTCACGCCTGTAATCCCAGCACTTTGGGAGGCGGGTGGATCACGAGTTCAAGAGATCGAGACCATCCTGGTCAACATGGTGAAACCCCGTCTCTACTAAAAAAAAATACAAAAAATTAGCTGGGCATGGTGGTGCGTGCCTGTAGTCCCAGCTACTCGGGAGGCTGAGGTAGGAGAATTGCTTGAACCCAGGAGGCAGAGGTTGCAGTGCGCCGAGATCACGCCATTGCACTCCAGCCTGGGTAACAAGAACCAAACTCCATCTCAAAAAAAAAAAAAAAGTCCAGCCGAGGTGGGTGGATCACAAGGTCAAGAGATCGAGACCAACCTGGTCAACATGGTGAAACCCCGTCTCTACTAAAAATACAAAAAACTAGCTGGGCATGGTGGCGTGTGCCTGTAATCCCAGCTACTCAGGAGGCTGAGGCAGGAGAATTGCCTGAACCCAGGAGGCAGAGGTTGCGGTGAGCCGAGATTGCGCCATTGCACTCCAGCCTGGGTAACAAGAGCGAAACTCCGTCTCCAAAAAAAAAAAAAAAAAAAAAAAGTCCAGGTGTAGTGACTCGTGCCTGTAATCCCAGCACTTTGGGAGACTGAGGTGGGTGGATCACTTGAGGTCAGGAGTTCAGGACCAGCCTGGCCAACATGGTCAACATGGTGAAACCTCGCCTCTACTGAAAATACAAAAAAATAGCTGGGCCTGGTGGCAGGCGGCTGCTTAGGGAGGCTGAGGCAGGAGCATTGCTTGAACTGGGAAGTGGAGGTTACAGTGAGCCAAGAGTGTGTCATTGCATTCCAGCCTGGCCAACATGAGCAAAACTCCATCTCCAAATATAAATAATAGAAATAAATGAAAAGAAACCTGATGTTTTAGTTAGCCTGTGTAACCCCATCACAACAGGTTAATAGACAGTTTCCATTAAGCTTTGGGGGAAATACTGAAAGCAGTGTGTGTACCCACACCCCCGCCCCGGGCCCACTGCTTTCACAGACCCAGGCCCAGGATTTTAAATACTTCTGGCAAACCAGCCTCCGTTGCCCACAGCCCTGAGAAACCAGTTTGTGCCCAGTGTCTGTCTTTTCTCTCAGATTATAAATTCCCCAAAGGCAACGTCCAGGTTTTTACCCTGCTTGTCAGATTCCCCGCCCCCCCCCACCACTGGCCCAGGGGTAGCTGTTCAGCATGGGTGTTTAATAAGCACTTAATTGCCCGGTGAGTACGGACCTTTCCAGCTCACCTTAACTGTTTCCTGGCTGACTCACCTTGGCCTGACTGCCCTGCTGGCTGAGCGAGTTGGAATGAGCGTAGCGGTAGCGCCACCTATAGGTTCGTCTTACCACGGTCTTGTCTTCACAGGAGCACTTCACGAACGAGTTTACCTCTGGAGATGGAAAGAAAGGTATGTCCCCTGAATTTCCATGGTGGCTGCAGTTGAGGAGCGGGCCTTCCTCTCCCCTTCTCTGTCTGCTTCCTCTGGTCGGGATCTGCCACACACATCATGTCTACATGCCTGGCATCTTGGAGGAGGCGCCAACCCCTCTGTGCTTTATTGCCTGCAGCAGGGGAATCGGCCTGTGGGTGGGGTGTGGATGGGCACACCTGGGCTTGAGGACTGGGTTGGACTCCATCCATCCCCTGGGACTGGTGTGAAGATAGACCGAGAGGATGTCGGGGATCCTTTGTGAGCTCCTGCCAGGGAGAGGGGCTCTCATCCGGCCTGTCTCACCCCCTACTGCCCAAACCAGCTGTACAGGTGCCCCAGGGCATTGGCATGGATGGCCCTGGGTTTCTAGAGTCCACAGGTTGTTTTGATCTGAGGGCATGGACCACCTCACCTCTGCTAAGAGCCCTAAAGATCGATACAAAAGGTCTTTAAAAAAAAAAAAAAAAAAAAAACACAACCCTAAAGACTCCTTTCCCATGTCTCTGGCCAAGAATGAGGGAGGTAGGGACTGCCCCTCCCTCACCAGGGAAGTATCTGAACTAGCTCAGAGTATCCTGTAGAAAGCCGAAAGGGGCTGAGCAGATCCGTTTTCCAGGAAAACACTTCCTGAAAGGGTCCCAGATGCCCCTACTGCAGGGCCCAGACTTCTAGAGTCCCCGATGCTAGTTAATTTACTGCAAATAGACATGCAGAAAAGGCAGGAGAATGAACATCGACTGGGTTCCTGCTGCGACTGGACCATGCTAGGCCCTGCCCAGCCCCACCTGTTCCTTACGTGTGTCGGGGGTGGCTGCTAGGCCTCCCTGACTCTGAGGAGACCAGGGCATGGAGGGAGGGTGAGGGTGACGCAGCAGGCCAGGCAGAGGAAGGCAGAGCCTCTAGCTTACTTTGGGGGCCCACATAGGAAGCCCCCAGAGTGTGACTTTCTGATTTCCTTTGGCTGTGGGTGGGAGCAACACCTCTCAGAAAGGTGACATTTAGACGTTTCCCCAGGGGCAAAGGGGAGCAGCATAAGGGGGGCATTTGCAGCAACTCGCTGGGCCTTCAGGCCTGAGGAGGGAGATGGGCCCTTTGGGCCTCAGCATTTGGCAGACACTGGGGAGGATGGTGTGGACCTTGTCCTGGAGTCCACAGCGCATCCCCACAAGCTCACAGATGTATTTCTTTGCTCCTCTAAAGCTCACAAGGACTTTGGCTACTTCTATGGCTCGAGCTATGTGGCAGCCCCTGACAGCAGCCGGACTCCTGGGCTGTCCCGTACCCGGGATGGACTGCTGGTTGCCAAGCTCGACCTAAACCTCTGCCAGCAGGTGAATGATGTCTGGAACTTCAAGGTAGGTCCCCAGGACCCCTGCTGTTAAACCTGTTCCTCTGCTTTGGCTCTCATCCTGCTCTCAGGGCTGGGAACTACTGTTGTGGGGTTGCCCACGGCAGCATGGGGTACCAGCTCCCACCCGAGGGCTCCATGTGAGCTGAGGGCTGAATCTCGGCCTCCTTGCTGGCTCCCGGGAGGAACAGTTGGGCCAAACAATGTACAGGCAGCAGACTGCAATAAATTCTCCTCTCATCTGATTTAGATTCTGGGTGCCTTCAGACAAATTAATCTCAATTTCATTTGTCCAGAGAATAGAATGGATTGGCTCTTCTAATCCTTTTTCCTTTCCAGGCATTTGCACTTATCACAAGATAAATGTGCACGTCTGGTTCTGCTTGTGGCCAGTCCCCACAGCCTAGGCCTTGATGATAGTGGCAAGTGGGTCCTGCAGAGAAATGGAATCTAGGCCTGACTCTGCCACACCCTTCCTCAGTCCCCTTAATTAAGCCCCTTCTGCTCCCAAAGCTAAGTACTCCCAGTTGTAAAATAAGGGGCTTGGCAAGAAGGTCCCATGCTGGCTTTGACACCTAATGCCCTGTGACGTTACGAGTCAGAGGAATGGCCGGGCGCGGTGACTCAAGCCTGTAATCCCAGCACTTTGGGAGGCCGAGGCGGGTGGATCATGAGGTCGAGAGATCGAGACCATCCTGGTCAACACGGTGAAACCCCGTCTCTACTAAAAATACAAAAAAATTAGCTGGGCATGGTGGCGTGTGCCTGTAATCCCAGCTACTCAGGAGGCTGAGGCAGGAGAATTGCCTGAACCCAGGAGGCGGAGGTTACGGTGAGCCGAGATCGCGCCATTGCACTCCAGCCTGGGTAACAAGAGCGAAACTCCGTCTCAAAAAAAAAAAAAAAAGTCAGAGGAATGGAGGTGTCTACCTTCCTGGGATGGGACTCTGCCCTAGAAGGGCTCACAGCTACAGAGTTTGCTGTATTCGTGTTCGGCAGTATTTCTACCAACTCAGCATCCCTTTTTCTTTTTTTGGTGGAGTGGGAGGCATGGAGACAAGGTCTTGGCTTTGTCATCCAGACCGGACCAATGGCATAACCGTAGCTCATGGCAGCCTTGACCTCCTGGGCTCAAGCCATACTCTCACCTCAGCCTCCCGAGTAACCGGGACTACAGACATGCATCATCAACACCACACCCAGCTAATTTTTAAATTGTTTATGGTCTCACTATGTTGCCCAGGCTGGTCTTGAACTTCTGGCTTCAAGCAATCCTCCCACCTCGGGCTCCCAAAATACCACGATTAGAGATGTGAGCCACTGTGCCCCGCCTCAGCCACCTTTTATAAGTAAATCGTATATGCAAATAAATGTCATATTGCTAGGCTGGGCACGCATGTAATCCCAGCGCTTTGGGAGGCTGAGGTGGGTGGATTACCTGAGGTCAGGAATTCAGGACCAGCCTGGCCAACATGGTGAAACCCTGTCTCTACTAAAAAATACAAAAATTAGCCAGGCATGGTGGCAGCACCTGTAATCCTAGCTACTTGGGAGGCTGAGACAGGAGAATTGCTTGAACTCGGGAGGCGAAGGTTGCAGTGAACCGAGATCGTGCCATTGCACTCCAGCCTGGGTGATAGAGCAAAACTCCATCTCGCAAAAAAAAGAAAAGTCACATTGTTATAACTGACTTTGCCTGATGTGACTGAGAGACCACCAGGGCCTTTAACCCAGACATTGGCTTTTGGCCTTGATCCCATTTTCTGAGCATGGGTTCCAGGGCACATTCCCCGAGTCTCAGATCCTTGTCAGACTAACAAGGTATTGCCCATGAGGGAGTCTCCTGACCTGTCTCTCCTCTTCCTGGGCAACTCGAGGAACGTAGTATTCCACCTAAATCAGAAGTTGGAGCCAAGAGTGCCAGCCAAGTCTTCTAATAAGTATCTCAGGAGCAGTAAACCAAATGCTTTCTCATTAGACACTTTTTTTTTTTTTTTTTTGAGACAGAGTTTGGCTCTTGTTACCCAGGCTGGAGTGCAATGGTGCGATCTCGGCTCACCGCAACCTCCGCCTCCTGGGTTCAGGCAATTCTCCTGCCTCTACCTCCTGAGTAGCTGGGATTACAGGCATGCACCACTATACCCAGCTAATTTTTTTGTATTTTTAGTAGAGACGGGGTTTCACCATGTTGACCAGGATGGTCTCGATCTCTTGACCTCGTGATCCACCCGCCTCGGCCTCCCAAAGTGCTGGGATTACAGGCGTGAGCCACCACGCCTGGCCCTCATTAGACACTTCTTAGAAGCAGAACGTTTCCCAACTTTGGTAATGGGCATGAGCTCCTGTCAAGGCTTCTGGGGGTAGCCCACCTTGGGAAAGGAGGGAAGGAGGGAGAGCATGCTGGGTGTGAGCACTCTGGGTGGGCTTTCCAGCCCTACCAACCTCTGTATCCATGATGAGATGCCACATGGAGTAGACAGAACTCCATACCCATCCAGGAGACCAGCCTTTTTTTTTTTTTTTTTGGATACAGAGTCTTGCTCCATCGCCAGGCTGGAGTGCAGTGGCACGGTCTCAGCTCACTGCAACTTCTGCCTCCTGGGTTCAGGCAATTCTCCTGCCTCAGCCTCCTGAGCAGCTGGGATTACAGGCGCACGCCACCACACTCAGTTAATTTTTGTATTTATTAGTAGAGACGGGGTTTCACCATGTTGGCCAGGATGGTGTTGATCTCCTGACCTCATGATCCACCTATCTCAGCCTCCCAAAGTGCTGGGACTACAGGTGTGAGCCACCGTGCCCAGCTGAAATCTCAGCCTTTCGTACACCTGGCTGGTGATTTGGAGCAGTTCACTCCTCTCTGCGCTGTAGGCTGCTCTGGAAAGCAACAGGACCATGGGACTCCCCTCCTCCCTCCTGCCTCAGCAGACCACACCTTCCGGATAGACAGATCTAAGAGGTCACAGCAGGCAAGGTTGGGCTGTATGAGTCATCGCGGCATCTCTGAACTTTGCCACAATACCAGAATTGGTGCCAAGAGGTCACTGTCAACGAGCCTTCCAGACACATTCCTGTCCCGTGGCTGCCCTCCAGTGGCAAGAGGTGGTGGCGTGTAAGTGATGGGCATTTATAAAACCAGAACCTCTAAAGTACATCTGTGTTTTGCTTTCAGATGACGGGCAGATATGAGATGTATGCACGGGAGCTCACCGAAGCTGCCAAGCCCAACTACAGCCCCACCATTGTGAAAGAGTAGCTGGCTTCAGTGCCTGCCTTGGGGTGAAGGAGACACCTCTGCCCCAGCAGATTAGCAAGCGTGGCAGGTTTAACATATCCAACATATTCCCCAACAACATTGTCCAGGTCAGCTTTAAAATGCCCAGGCAGCGGGAGGGTGGCATGGGGAGTGACTTTTTTTTTTTTTTTTTTTTTGAGATGGAGTCTTGCTCTGTCACCCAGGCTGGAGTACAGTAGCACAATCTCGGCTCACTGCAACCTCCACCTCCCGGGTTCAAGCAATTCCCTGCCTCAGCTTCCCAAGTAGCTGGGATTGCAGGCACCCACCACCAAGCCCAGCTAATTTTTATATTTTTACTAGAGATGGCGTTTCACCATCTTGACCAGGCTGGTCTTGAACTCCTGACCTTATGATCCACCCACCTTGGCCTCCCAGAGTGCTGGAATTACAGGCATGAGCCACCACGCCCAGCCAGGGAGTGACTTCTTAATGGGTAAGGGGCTTCTATGGTGCTGGAATCGTTTTGAGTCTAGGGAGAAGTGATGGTTGAACAATGTGGTGAATGTATTAGATGCCACTGAATTTGTATACTTCAGAAATGTTTTGGTTATGTGAATTTTACCTCAACTAAAAACAAAATGCCCAGGCACTGCTTGTGCTGTTGGATTTGAGATTAGCCAGATGATGCTGTCCATCCTGTCCACCAGTGGGAAGAGAGCTGATCCAGAGTCCCTGAGCCTATGGCATGGCTATGGTGGATGGGGTGGTCTTTGGATGTGACGGCCTAGCCAGGCTACAGTCCCCAGTAATTCAATCAGACACTAATCTAAGGTATTGCTGTGAAGGCATTTTGTAGATGTAGCAAAAGTCCATAACCAGTCAACTAAGTGAGATTATCTCAGATCATCTGGGCGAGCCTGACCTGATCTGTCAAAAGGCCTAAAGAGCAGAGCTGAGGGCTTCCCTGAGGAAGAAATCCTGCCTGTGGACAGCAGCCCAGCTCTTGGCGAGAGTTCCTAATAGCCTGCCCTTCCTGACAGCCTGCCCTTCCTGACAAGCCTGCCTTATAGATTTTGGACATGAGTAGCCAGCTCCTACAATCACTGAAGTCAATTACTTGCAATAAAGCTCAATACATACCCTACTTGTTCTGCTTCTCTAGTTGAATCTGACTGATACAGATTTTGGTGCCAGAAGTGGTTCTAGAGAAATGCAACCTTAAAGATTGAGTTTTCTGCATTGGTGCTGGATTTTTTTTTTTCTAATTCTTCCCTAGTTTGATTGAACTTAAAGGCATTAATAACTATTTCCGGCCGGGCATGGTGGCTCACGCCTATAATCTCAGCACTTTGGGAGGCCGAGGCAAGTGGATCACGAGGTCAAGAGATCGAGACCATCCTGGTCAACATGGTGAAACCCCGTCTCTACTAAAAAATAAAAAATTAGCTGGGCATGGTGGTGAGTGCCTGTAGTCCCAGCTACTCAGGAGGCTGAGGCAGGAGAATTGCCTGAACCCAGGAGGCGGAGGTTGCAGTGAGCCGAGATCGCGCCATTGCACTCCAGCCTGGGTAACAAGAGCAAAACTCCGTCTCAAAACAGAAAAAAAAAAGAAAAAAGGCTGTGCACAGTGGCTCATATCTGTAATCCCAGCACTTTGGGAGGTTGAGGCGGGGGGATCACTTGAGCTCAGGAGTTAAAGACCAGCCTGGGCAACATAGACCTTGTCCCTGTAAAAAATAATAATAATAGAAAAAAGAGGCCGGGGGGTGGTGGCTTATACCTGTAATCTCAGCACTTTGGGAGGTGGGGGTATTATAAGGTCAGGAGTTTGAGACCAGCCTGGCCAACATAGTGAAACCCCATCTCTGCTAAAAATACAAAAATTAACCGGGCATGGTGGTGTGTGCCCGTAGTCATAGCTACTCAGAAGGCTGAGGCAGGAGAATCGCTTGTACCTGGAAGGCAGAGGTTGTGGTGAGCTGAGATCACACTACTGCACTCCAGCTTGGGCAACAGAGTGAGACTCCATCTCAAAAAAAAAAAAAGGGGGGCTAAGGCATTATTAAATATTAAATATACAGCACATATTAGACAAAAGTCTCAAACTTAAAGAATAAAATCATAAAAGTATGTTTTCCCCTAATAATGGAACAAAACCAGAAATCAGTAGCAAAGGGACTACTGAAAAGTTTAAAAAAGTAACATACTTTTTGTCTTCTGAGACAGCCTTGCTCTGTCGCCTAGGCTGGGGTACAGTGACACAGTTGTGGCTCATTGCAATCTCTGTCTCCTGGGTTCAAGTGATTTTTGTGCCTCAGCCTCCCAAATAGCTGGGACTAGAGGCACATGCCACCGCGCCTGGCTAATTTTTGTATTTTTAGTAGAGACAGGGTGTTGCCGTGTTGGCCAGGCTAGTCTTGAACTCCTAGCCTCAAGTGACCTGCCTGCCTCAGCCTCCCAAAGCGCTGGGATTACAAGCATCAGCCACTGCACCTGACCAACAACACACTTTTAAACAACCAATGGGTCAAAAGAAAGAATAAGGGAAATTAGATATCTTGAGACAAACGAAAACAAAAATACAACACACCAAAACTTATGGGATGTTGCAAAAGCAGTGCTGAAAGAAATGTATAGCTATAAATGCTTATGTTAAAAAAGTCTGGCCATGGTTGCTCACACCGTAATTCTAACACTTTAGGAGGATGAGGTGGGAGAATCACTTGGCTCCTCTACAAAAAATTTAAAAATTTACCCGGGATGGTGGTGCACACCTGTAGTCCCAGCAATTTCAGAGGCTGAGGTAGGAGAATTGCTTGAGCCCAGGGGTTTGGGGCTGCAGTGAGCTAAGTAAGCTATGATCGCACCACTGTACTTTGGTCTGAGCAACAGAGTGAGATACGGTCTTAAAAAAGAGTAAATAAAAGAGCTAACAGAAGCCAATAATAAAGATAAGGACAGAGATAGAGAATAGAAAAAGAAAGTCAACAAAACTGAAAGTTGCTGGGCGCAGTGGCTCACGCCTGTAATCCCAGCACTTTGGGAGGCCGAGGCGGGTGGATCACGAGGTCAAGAGATCGAGACCATCCTGGTCAACATGGTGAAACCCCGTCTCTACTAAAAATACAAAAAAAATTAGCTGGGCGAGGTGGTGCGTGCCTGTAATCCCAGCTACTCAGGAGGCTGAGGCAGGAGAATTGCCTGAACCCAGGAGGCGGAGGTTGCGGTGAGCCGAGATCGCGCCATTGCACTCCAGCCTGGGTAACAAGAGCGAAACTCCGTCTAAAAAAAAAAAGAAAAAAAAAAGTGACATTGGAAGAGAGTCCTGAGTGAGGGGACAAGGGAGGGAAGAGCAGGTACAAAGGCCCTGAGGGAGGAAAGGTCTTTGGCAGGTGGGAGGTACCAGAAGGCGGCCATCTGTTGGGAAGGCTTGATGTGGACATCAAGTCCTGGGAAGCTGAGGGGCCCTAAACAGCATAGGGCATCCTACTCACCAGATTCCCCAGAGCTGTGGGAAGCACAGTATTCCACTGGGGGCTCAGGGCAGAGCCTCAAGCAGTATTCAGGGTACATGTTTGGGCAGGCAGGCAGGAGGGAGGCTGAGAGTGGGGCAGAGGAAGCTACTGGAGGGGCCGCTGGTCTACCCCCACAGCATCTCAGCCTCCGTTTCCTGGCATTGAGTTTTTTTCCGTGAACACTCAAGTCCATGCTAGTCCCATCACTTGGGCCCTGGTGTGGCATTTGGGCTCAGATCTCTGTTCTAGCTTGGCCCCTTGGTTCCCAATGACGCCCATCCCAGAGTCTTTGGTCCGTCTCCCTCAACCCCAATTCTGCATGCTCTGAGGAGCCAACCCCACCCAGGACTCACCATCCCACCCACTTTCGTCTCTACTGCTTCAACATCTCCCTCATTTTGTTGTGTCTCCTGTAATTGCATTTGTTTCCATTCAGTTGAGCTGAGCCCCAAGGCCCTTCTACCTCCAGTACTGCCTGTCCAGGCTAGGCACAAGCATCCAGGCCTCAATGGGATGGATGTGGCCCTGGAAAACAGGATTCCAGTCCCAGCTAAACTGGGTATGGCAAGACAAGGACCTGGCTTCCCGTGTGCTCATGCTGAGAACCTGAGGACAGGAATTCTGCGGATCAACGCAGCGTCACAAAGGCCAGCCAGGGGCTGCCACCATTTTGCAGCGAGAATTTATTGAGAATGGCTCATTACAAACAAAATATATATAAAATCTCTGCAATGTAAAAGATCCCTTTCATCCCCCTGTGGCTATAGTGAACAAAGCCCACTGTCCCATGTGGCTTCAGGGGCTGTGCTGGGCCCCAGCATGTAGACAGGCTGGGCAGCTGTGGGTGCCATGTGCTGTGGGCAGAAGTCCCTGATGTCCAGGCTCCCTCTCTGGCCCCATTTTCATGACTTATGCAAGAATGCAATACAGTGTGGCTTACATCCTGCCTCTGTGACCCTCCCTAGGCAGATGGGTCTTGAGAATGGACAGCTTTCTCATTCATCTTCCAGGCAGGTGACTTTAACTTGTGGCATGCCCTGAGAAGCCATCCTCTGGGACCAGAGACTGAGTGTTTCTAAATATCCTGGATGGACTGAGGTGCTGGTACCACTCTCCATGAAGGCCACTGCCCAGTGACAGCCCTAGTAGCATGTGCACTGTGTCTGAATCAAATCTTGCCATCCTGAAAACTTCCTTTCCTCCCACTGGTTTCCTTCATACAGCTAATCTCACAATTTTACCAGAACATCTGAAGATGCCCACACCCCACAGCTGCTGTGCATGGGTACTCCTGGGCCACCTGTCATTAAGGCAATGGAGATGAGACCAGACTGGAGCCCACACGAGTCTCTGAAACCCAGAAGGGCTGCCCAGCTAACAGCACCTCCCTCTTGGTCAAGGCTTTGTCTAGGGTTGAGGAGCAATTTGGCTGTGTGGTCCGAGCACCCTCCTAAAAAGAGCCCACCTCTACCACCAGAGCCACCTGATGGGGGAGGGTCCAGCTGCCACCATGCCATGCCTTGGGCACTGTAAGACCAGGACCCAGGAGTGCAGGGATGGTGTCACTGTTGCCCCTTTGAGAATGATCCATTTCCCTTAGTTTTTTAGGTATAGACTGGGGTTTAAGGCCCAGCCCCACCACTGTCCTGGGCAGACTCCCCAGACTGGGCCAACTGCCTTGTCTGTGAAGTGAAGG